GTTCCTCTGACAAAGCACTCCAGGTATGTACATAACTGTAACTACAGGAAGACTTGAATTTCCTTTTTATATCACAATTATAGGCTAATTTCCATGGTTCTTGCCACACCTGCCTTCACAGAAAGTACAACAAGTATGCATTACTTACCTTTAATTCACTTTCTGCCTCAGAGGTCTAATTTTCTCTAGTGCAGTGATTGACTACCTTGTTGACTATCTTTTCATCCCATTGAACAAAAAGGCAAAATTATTATACATTGAAAGTCAACTAATGAGCCTGCACACATACCCAGAGATGAACTGCATCCTGTGTGAAGCATATTGCAACAGTTCTCCCGCCAAAATCAGTTGTGTTTACACTGTAGGTTCTATTCATGTGTCTGAGCTATGACTGGAAGTTATGTTGGAAAGATTTCTAGCATACGTAAAGTATAATTTTTCAAGCAGAATAAAAAAAAGGCAAGGCAAGGCAAGGCAAGGCAAAGGAAACACTTTCCAAAGGAAATAAGTGATGCTAACATTTCAGCTTATTTTCACGTGACAGATTGATGCCAGTAATATTTCTATGCATAAAAGGTTAGACAAAACAGTCCAAGTGACAGCCAGCCAGTAGATGTACTTTCCTCAGTTAGAGTAAGAGAATTGTATCAAAATACGATCTATTGATGAAGATCTTATAGATTAATAAGACAATTTTAGATTAATAAGATGTTAAAAGCCTCAAAAGCCTTGTAAGCTTAATTGCATTTTGTCTTTGAGCTTAGGCTCACACAGAAGTTCCCACTGGCAAGTGACAAAACCCTTTCTGAAATGCAGTCATTGAACCTAGGGAAGTTTTCTACCCTAATTAAGTAATTTCCTTATTCAAATTCTTTGAAACAATTCTTCATATTACCTTTAACTGTATACCTTTCTTCTTTTATTTGGGCTTTGCTTATTTGTTTTCATTTTGTATTCACATAAATATGGAATGGAAGTACCTGTGTAGTCTTATTTTCTTTTACTTAGCCTGTATTGCGTGATTAAGGTATCACATAACATCCTTTTTCTGCTTCTTGGAAAGCCTTTTCCCTTTGGGGTGGTCTTCTTTAAACTTTCCTGAAGTCGTTGCTAATGTCTGACGATCAACAGCTGTAGGATTCCTGCTGTTTAGCCTCACACGGGTATTTGTCTCCAGGTAGACACAATAGCCCTTATCTTTCTTCCAGAAAGTCTTTCCTTCCCTAATTCATGGCATTTGTTAAACATGATGTTCTTTTACATTAACGTTTCCCTCCTGTCAAGGGGCAACTTTAGGATAACTGGAAAAAACTAAAAAGTTTCATTTCTGCCACAGAAAACCAAGAAACTGAATAATTTTCTCAGCAGTTACTTTACTCAAATATTCGAACAGATTTCAGAAGTATCTCGGAGAGGTGGCAGCCAGAGTAGGAGCCAGAGATTTACTGGACAAGAGACTGTGACTGGTGTAGAGCAAAAACTGAACTCATAGCAGAACTGGGAGAGAAGGTGACAACACCTGATCAACCAGCCATCTCATGACTGTAGCAGTATATTTTTGTAAGATCCATCTGTCAGGAAGTCAAAATTATTCTTAAAATGGTGACTTTTTCCCCCCATCATTTTTCTATGTAGCAAAAACTTTCTCCAACGCACATTATGAAAAGATGCAATGTATTCCAAACTGGCTAGATATCATGCCTCATGTGTCAGATGCTGTGGACTGTCCATCCCTTATATCCCAACCCCATTAGAGGTACATAATTTTCTGAAACTTTAATAATTTTTCTTAACAAAAGACTGCAGGTGAAAGAACAGCAGAGTTTGCTCAATACCAGTGTTTTATGAGGTACAGAAAATACACATTTGTACAAAGTGTACAAAAAGACACATAATGTTTCTTTAATAGCATTTATTGTCACTTTGTACAGATGTAAATGATTTTTTAAAATGAAGGTTCAAGGTTTTGTGTCCACCTTTCATCGAACTTGACACCATTCTGATGCTTTCAAGACTTTTTATTTTGGTAAGAACTTTCTACTTTCTGCTTTCCCCTAGTTATGCAGGATCTGTAGCTGGAAGTTTTTCTCTTTTTCCTTTTTTTTTTTTTTTTTTTGCGAGGAGGGGGGAAGGTGATGGGGTGGAAAAAGTTCATCTTTGGTAAAAGTTAGTCCAAAGTTAGATTTTCCAAGAAAACTCTCTGTTAAGGGATGATTTTTACACTCACAAAATTGTATTTCTTTCTGAGAAGATAGTTCAGTTTCTTCCCTTCATCCTTTATTCTCATGATACTGACTTATAGTTTACCTTTTCATTGGTAACCTAATGAATATGTTTCTAAGAACTGAATAGGCCACAGTGTAAACATCTGCAGCTTGGAGACTGTAGATTTTAACAACGAATGTCCTTTTGGTCCACATTTCTTCAAATATGGAAAGGGCCTTTTTCACTTGGAGAAGACAGAAGGATAAGGAAGACTGGCTTATACTTAAGCTGCTTCCTTAATAAATTTCAGAGGAATAACTGAGAGCACTTCTCATGTGGAAAGGATCCAATAAAATAACCATTACATACAAAACTTTTTTAAAAACATCTTTTTTTTCTCAAGGGTATTCATTTTCTAGGCTTCAGTCATATTTGTGATAAAATAACAGGGGTTCATTGTGCCAGCTGCCTGTAAAATTAGAAAGATACACAGTACATCAAAATGAAGCTTTCCTTAGTCCATGTCAAAAAAGCAGTTTTGCATATTTACTGTGCTGTTGATCTTCTTTTCCAGATTACTGTTTCATATAATGAAATGCTTTCCTTTCCAATTTTCTGAGGTCTGCTAAACAAAGCAACAATATTCTTTCAACTAATTCATAATCTTCTAGCATTAAAAAAGAAAGTGAGAAGAACCCAGAAAATGTTTATTTATGTCTTCAAATAAGAAAAACTTCCTTCATGTATTATTCACACTAGGGGGAAAAAATTGTATGTGAAAGTCAGTGAAAGAATTAGGCTTTTTGACTGGTTTTCCTCTAAGAAAGAGAGTCTAGAGTTACTGTAGAGATACTGGTACAGACTATAAAGTTTCTTACTGATTTTTTTAGGAAGCAGTTCTGGTTACTGTAAATTTTTTTCTCAATTATTAGTAGAACTTTGGCAACACGTGGGATGAGCCTAGCACTATTAGTCTATGGTGTAAAAACACCCTAAAAATTCACTTCTTGTAGCTGGAGGAATCACGTAAGAGGAAAACAGTTGTCCAGTCTTCTTATCAACTGAAATGGCAGGATGTAATATTCTTCAGAGACATAACATTTCTTGAGAGCTTATGTGTTCCTGTCAGTATTTAATCTAACCTGAAATGGAAGGGGGCTTGCTGAAAGCCAAACAGCAAGTAGGCTGTTGGCTGGACCTTACAAAAATTATCACTAAGTTAAAGTTTTGTTTAACTACATGGTCCTTTGTCCACAGGGAAATGGTACATTTAATGCTTTCTACAGTAGGTTCAGGATTTGTCTTGAATCTGTAGGTGGCTTTGCTTTCAGTATCTTCTGAGTTTTCTAATGTAAAATATAATTCAGAGGAAGAAACTTTGCACTGAAATGATTGAATTGCTGTTATTCTGGTATTTTTTCAATGAGAAAATCAGTTTTTAAAATGATCTAATAAGTTGTCAGAAGAATAGGAGCAATAGCAGAAAATACTTGTGTCTTGGCATAGTTAGCAGGATAGAACTTTCTCCCATCCATGCAAATGCAGGCTACAGATTTTAACATTGCATGGGCTGATTCAAAAATCATTCACTGTCTTGTTCCCTCTGCCCTCTTCACTCTGATAATACAAAAGCATGTCCAAAACTGGCAAGAGGAGAAAAGGAAGAACGGAAGAGGAAAAACAGCTGAGCTATGCAGTAATCATCAGACAATTATATCAAACTTCCTAAAGAGATTTGCAGCTATTTTTGCTTGTGATTAATGTGCAGGGAGAAGCAATTACAGAAATTGCTCTACTCACAGGGCAAATACAAATGGCAACAAACATGCTTTCAAAACCTGGGGCATCAAAAAAGATTCTGACACTGAAAAACGGAATATATCATTAAAAGTCATGTGCTCCTTACTTTAAAAAAAAAAAAAAGCAAAACAAAAAAACCCACCCCACACAAGAAAAAAAAAACAACACCCTAGTCTCCCTTTTGAGCAAGAGTTATGAAATTCAGAGATCATACATTGCAACTGTATGATTTATAATATAATTAAGCATAGCTGGGAGGATGCATCTTCTTAATTTTCATGTAACTACTCTTTCTTTCCAAGAATGTATTCAGTCATGCTGGTTCATTCTGTCTGTATTCCTAAAACAAGGTATAATTTTTGCCTTTTATCACGGGAGGAGGCAAAACTCATGACATTTACAAACGCCATGCAGAAAGTTACAAATTAAGGCACCTAATGCGTACAAAACTATACGTTGCTGTATTTCAGAGAAATAAAACTTTCCCTAATTTTTGTTGTCCTTGAAGACAAAGTTTATATTCTTTCAAATTCTGACATTAACATCTGTAACAGTGCTACTATTTCCAGTGAACTTAACGGAACAAGCTGTAAAGACAGAAGTCCAAAAGCAATCAAAACCATGGGTAGGAGACCCAACTGACAGTTCAAAGAACGTATTTTTGCCATTCTGCAAATAGCAAGCCTGGAAAGTATTAGAAAACTGTTATTTAAAAGTGAATAAGCTGAGGACAGACATCCAAATGACCCTGTGCCATCAGATTTGACATGCCATCTGAAAATGCATAACCAGTGTTTGTTATGGAGGTTTGTGAGTTGTTAGTTTTCCATTGTTTTCTCTGGCTAGATGAAGTCTGTAACCACCATGAAAATAGAGCCATGATAACATCACAGAAACTGTAACTTGAGAATAGCTGTAAAAAAAAAAGACAAAAACTGTGCTGACCTCTCAAAGGTCTGGGTGTGGAAGATCTTTCCCCAGGCAAGTGTCGAAAGCCAAGTGTGTGTCATGTAAGTACACACATTTGCCTTTGGGATCACCCAGGGATATATCGGCCTCTTGGGGCCCACAGGAGTTCTCCCTTCTTGTCTAAGGAAACACTGAATGCAGTTTCCTACACTGGCCAAAAGGGGCTGTGCCAGGGGAGTGAGAAGGTGGAGTCCTGAGTGAGCAAGAGCAACCTGAGAGTGCCTCCAGCTAACTAGACCTCAAGTGATACTCGCCGACCTGTGGATGGATTAACCAGGTGCTGGCTGCTGTTGCTCTGTGCTGCAAGTATCTTTAAACATTTACCCAAAGCTCTTCTGCCCATGCTATACACATGGAACTGAAGGAGACCACCTGTGATCACTCAGGAGTGCACAATTTGGCCTTCCAGGTAAGTATGGTTTCTTTTGCTTTGTGGGAAGTTGAAGGACTTACAGACAATGAACAATGTGCATTTCAGTCCCTGAAAAAAGAAAAGATGTATCAATTTCTGCTTCTGCCTGCAGATGTTTTACAACATCCAACATGCTTCGCACTGATACCCTGCCAAAGTACAAGGCTGGAGCACAGCTGACACATTCATGTAGGCTCCTCTTACTGCTCATCTGCTGCTTGGTATACCAGTATCATTGAAAAGCCTCCTCAGGAATATTTCATAGGCTGAGTATCTCAGAACTAGCTCATCCACCTCTCCCATCTGCTGTATCAGTTGCTGCTTTTTCAGGAGGATAGGTAATTCATAGTTCTGTTGGAGACGAGGTCATCATTATGCAGCATACACCTCATCAAATCAATATTAATGAGAAAAATATTTGTGTAACCACATGTGGCATATCTTCTTTCTTCCATGCATAAAATAAGTGCAATTGTCTCCTACTTCCAAGAAGAGCACAGAGAGGAGGTAAGGAGCTAACCCAGAAAGTTCTGCGTATTGTGCATATATAGTAATGTTAACAACCATTTTTAAAAAAGGTTTCAAAAATGGAAGCACCAAAAACTGTTAAGAAGTTAGTTATGTTTCTCAGTGCCCAGTATCCCTGCACTTTAATAAGAATTAAGTCAGGGAACCCACATCCAGGCTGGTTTACTGTACTTGTTGCTGAAAGTAGAACAGGTCAGAGACAGTGGCTCTAAAGAGCACTGCGTTAGCAAAGTACCCCTTGCTCCCTGCAGCTTCAGATCCCTATGCCGGCCCTTAGCTCAGCTAGCAGGAAAAGTAGCACATAGTGGGTGTGAATATCAGCCAGACACTATTCAAATAACACAGAAAGGTCTTTGTGAATGCTAAGCACGTGGAATATTGTGTAACACCAGTGACATCCAACCACTCTGTATATTTATTCATTGGGCTATAGAGACAGAGAAGCAATAGATTGATTAGATAATCTGCCGATCAGGGAATATTTGTGGAATGTAAGGGAGTTAGGGTCAAGTCCCTACTCCAGTCAACAGTTAATAATTCATGCTAAGTAGGGCAGCTTCAAGAGTAGATGAATAGATAACTCTCTTAAAACATGATAGCCCAGTGGTTAGGGCATTCTCCTGGGTAATCAAAGTGCCTTCAAATGCATCTGCTTCACAGCTGATAGCCAAAAGCATTTCAACTTGAGTCTCCCCCAGTTCAAGTGAATATGATAGGAGAGGACTTCATCCTTCCTGCCTTTTCCCACAAAATTTGTGCCTAAGATAGTGAAGTCAGCTTCCAAAGTCTTTGCCTTCAAACCCTTGAAGGAAAGAAGTCCTTCCCTAGCTGCAGAATCTCAGTACCTAAGCTGAAAATCACTTCTTTCCTCAGCAGTCTGTGGAGCACAGGGCAGTGATTCGGGTTAATACACTGCCTTACACAGCTAGCTCACCTGGGCAATATGCAGGAAACCCAGGTGCTTCATTTCCTTCCCACTGCAGAGGTTTGCAAGAGCCCACATATCCTCTCCTATTTAAATAATTCAAATGTCAAATCAGGAATACTGTGCAGCAAGAAAACCTGGGGTCTGAACCAGGTTTTCTGGTTAATTTTTCCATGGAATGCCATAAAATTCTTCACATTTATGCTTACACTGTCTTTCTCTGACTCCACATACAAGTTGCTCCCTAGAGAAAATAAGACACAGAAGGAAATACTTCTACATATAGAAAAATAAATCACTTCACTGTAGGAGTCACAGAGAAGACAGGAGTCTCATGATTTGTGGTTTTTTTTTCCCTATTTGAACTTTTCTTGCACAAAGATTAAATGCTTTTCTTCCTCCAAAATACAGTGTCTTCTAGAATCAAGCTATGAGTATCTTCCTTAAACCACAAAATACAGAAGTGTTCTGGATTTAAGCCATTTGTAGTATCAATGTGGGATTGCACTCCATAGGTAATTTAAGATTTACCTGAGCCATTTAATGATTAACACACAAAAGAAAAAATAAGACAGGGACAAAGTAAACCCGGGATAGGTAGTTTGTTTTATAAAGTAAATAAGTTAAGGAAACAGCTTTCAGCATAAAAAAGCAGCTCAAGTCTAAGAAATGATGGATGAAGAATCATATCGGAGATTTACAACGTCAAGAATGGAAGGCATTGTGCCTTCTGTTGTGGGGCACTCTAAAGGGGATGAAGGGGTTGAATACAGAATAATCTGCCTTTGACTAGGGATACAAATGGTCAGAGGGGGATAACTAAGCACTTCTCAGTTTCACATTGCCTATTGATATTTAAACACACATCCACACAGAAGGATTTTCTAGTGAAACAGGATTTTAACTGTATCACAGAGGCTAGAATCAACAAACTGCCATACTGTTTATACAGAGACACTGAGGAGTTTAATAGTTTTTTATCCCCTTAATTATGTTGCACAGTGTAAGGAACCTAAACTTTTATCTTCAGATTCTCATCGCTATTCCAAAGATTGTCTGTGTTTAGTGTCTACATGCTAATGTAATACATTCTGTATCTATACCTATAATAATGTCATACACAATGTATAGAAACACTATTGTGTCTCTTGCATTCAGTGTGGGTCAGTTAACTTCTCCCTTACGGCACCAGCTGGAGGATTACTATTGTTGCCCACAGAATTCCTGCTCAGAAAACCTGCAACAGTTAACAGGAAGCCTAAAACTGAGGTTGGATTTACCTAGCTTTGTATAGGCATCATTTAAGAGGCAAAGATTTTAACTAATCAGTTCTGATGATTCAGATCTCTGCTAATGATGACATTAAACAACAGCTCACACTTACTCCTCAAGGAATGATAAGAGCTGGCTCATAAAAAGGAATGGTAGGTGGGATGAAAAAAATCCCTGATTTTTAAAAGGAACTCAGACATAAACATAAAAGAAATACAATGGTAACACTAATAAATATTTATTGTTCGACGGCCCCCTGTTGTCAATGCTATGATGCATTAAACAGTCAGTATTTGTTTCTGTGGAAGAGCACACCATGCTCTTAAGAAACTGTGAGGAAGAATGCCTGTTAAAATTCTGCCTTTTACTCATGCTACATAAGGACATTGGTACTGCCATAACATACACAGCTTTTGTACTCCATTCAAACAAGCTTATAACATGTCATAAAAAAAGCTATATATTTCTGTGTTTATCTCCATTCTCCAGAACTTCCTAGATACTTTTGTCTGGTTGGTTAATTAAAGACTATAGGCACTATTAATAATCTAAATTTCATTTCCATAATTGCTGTAATTTCTCTTGGAAACTATGAAGGCATTGCACTGCGTACCTCTTATCAGATACACACAGGAAAGTATGTAGTCCTTTTTCACATTTTTGAAACTTGCTTTCTAAAGTCGGGTTTTTTTTGGATTTTAGGTTTTGGTTTGGTTCTTTTTTTTTTTTTTTATAATTTAACTGTGACATACTACCCCCTTTGCTTACAGGAAGCAGTGAAAATTAGTTGTGCCTTTAAGCTCTTTTCTTCTCAGGTTAAGTAAAAGTTCCTTGTAAAAACATTTTTAGGATTCTTGTGTTTGTCATCCTCATTGTGTTCCTGCTTGCCACCAATAGATGTTTTGAATGCCATTAACGGCGGGGCTCATGTGCACCATTTTATCTTCTCAGGAATGTGCAAATCTTTTTTCCTTTTTTCTATTTTCTGACTTTTGCTTTCTGCCTCTGATGCATTTTACTTGTTCTGAGAGCAAATGGATTTCCTATCTTTTTTTTTTTTTTTTTTTTTTTTTTTAATGACCGGCTTTTGCCAGTCTATCATTTTAACTTGTTTATCCTGCATTTCAGGATACTATCCAACTATCCCACTCAAGACCGTACAATTTAAGCTTTTAAAAAAAATACTAGTGTACTCAGAGGTGGGTGAGGCTAATTTACAACCCATTTCAAAACACCTCATGAAGATTTATCCAGCTGAATTTAAATCTGGCAGAACATGTCTTTTATCTGCTGTCTCAACAGCTCATTTACTGTAGTTTAACACATGGATAATAAGCATTCATCCCTCCAGCCCTTACACTGAATTTTATCATTTGACAGGACTTTAAGAATGCTGTGATTATTGATCAAAAATTTTCTTCATCCATATTTAAAGTGCATTTTTACTGCTTCAGAATTTTGACACTGACTAGCAAAAGGTAGTACATGGGGGAAAACTTAGATGAATGGTCTTCAATTACACTGAATATTAAAATAATAGCAAAGTTTTAAACAGTGAACCATACGGTTTCATTTCAGTTGACTGAATGCAATCTGAAATCCAATGAAATCTAGCCTGGTAGCTTAAAACATTTGCTTTGAAGCATGTGTTTTTCACAGAGTTCCTTAAATACCCTGATTCTAATCTCCAAAGCTAATGTAATGACCCACTCTTAAATCATAAACAGTTTAAGGAGCTGTCTGGATGCTCTGATAGCCAATCTGTTTTCATCACTAACTGGCAGGGGTGGAAAACCATATTCTCTAAAAGCATGTGCTGTTGTTAGAAGCGCAACTCATAGAAGTTACACCCTTTTAGCAAAACCAATCCCTCCTTCAAAAGGCAGGGAGGACACAGGAGGGAAGGTCAAAGAATGTAGTGGTGCAAAAAGACTTGGCAAATGAACTGCTCATCTAGAGGAAACTAAACAAACATTTTAAGAGCACTTCACTTTCAAGTACCTATGCCCTTGCCATGTAATCAAGTATTTTAGAAGCAGGAAATTTCAATCAGTAAAAGTGCAGCAGAGTGTGAAATCAGAACCACAACTGTGTAACACTTTTCATATTGTTAGCATTCAAAACAGATGGATCAATTCTGTAATACTTACGTGTGGCCTAATGGGAAGAGAATTTTCCCCTCCAAGCTCCTCTTACTTGGTTTTAACTTCCTGCTTCCTTATGACACTACAGACTGAGTAGGTTCAGAAGTGACATGGCATATTGCTGGATCTGGTGTGTACTCATATAAGGGCCATGCTAGCTATAGTCCCTAAAGCTTGAACTCCCATTTTCTGTTGTGGTGTTTTGTTCTACAGACATTTCCAGGAAGGTGGGAAAGGATACTATGCAAATGAAGTAGAAGCTTTCTGGCTGGATACTTTGGTAGCAACCTGCAAAAGCAGGTGATAAAAACAGGCAGGTTGACATTTTGGTGTGATGTTCCTTCAGCAAACTCAGACTCAAACAGGAAAAGGGTTTATTTGCCACTTAAATATAAATGGGTTTATTTGCTATTTAAATATTGCTATTCTCATAAAAAATTAAAAATAATTTTTCTTTTTCTTTTTTTTTCAAGGGGTGAGGTTAAATAACATGCATTTTCACCAAACAAAATAAAAAATAATGTATAAAGGGGAGGATGAAGACATTGTACTTGAAGAATCAGCTATGAAATATAAGAAAATTACTCAGCTTCATGGCATTTAGTGGGTGCTTTAGTCAACAGAAGTAGTCTCTTACTGGAGTAAACTTGTTATCATAATAGTTGGCCAGTTTCTACTGAATCTGGAATATACCAGAAATGTGGTATAATCAGCTGAAATCAGTGAGGTTTATGCTTGCAGAAAATAACACAAATACATGATTCTGAAGTGTGGGCTATTTACAGTCCCATCAGTCACGTCATGCTCTTAGTAGATTTCTGCTACATTACTCACACATTCATATATTTTATTTTTTCTAGAAATTATGTAATTACTGCAGTTGAGCAGTGGGTTGGACAAAGTGACTCTTAGAGGTTTCTTCCCATTTCTGTACTTCCATTGTCTGTAGACAGCAGTTGTTTTGTAGGTGCTTACTGGGTTTCACATTTGCTGAAAAAAAGTCCTAAGATATCTCTGCTTTTTCTTGCTCAGTCTGCAAAGAGACTATCCCAGGGGTGGGTGTGTGCCAATTACAGAACTGAACCACTTCATCTTCACTATGGTCTCTTTTTAATATATCTCAGTGCTACAGTTAAGCACTGCTTCTTGTGATGGTTTTTTGCACTTGATGGAGAGTTCAGTAGAGGCTTTCATTGTCAACTGCAGGGACAGCTATGACAGACTCCTAATACAGCATGGTTAGAAGGCAAAGAGTAACAGAGATGCTTTTGATAAAGAAATACGTTCCTCTGAAGGGAATGCAAAGACATTCTTAGAAGGAAGGGAACTGATATGTCAGCATCTGGTTTATCAGAGACACAGCAGGTGAATAAACAGCTTCTTGCAACTCCTTCCTCTTCCACCAGACACACAAGGTTGCAGAAACATTTTTGCTGAAACCAATATTTTGTGAAGTTCAGAGGCAGAATATCTTTAAGGAGCATATGTTACTGGGAAGTGCCCTAGTTGTTTCTACGGTCATGTTTCCATTAAAAGGCAAAATCTAATTTATGTCTAGTAGTACTGCCAATTCCTGCCTTTATAATAATTTCCTATGATTAAGCTCATGTTTATGTTGTTCATTTGGAAATGATCAGTTTCTGAGAAGGCCAAGTGTCAATACTCATTTACCGCTTTTATTACCATGTAAGTAATGAGATACTTCATGCAATAAAACACAGTGAAATGACTGTACCATAACTGTTGCCATAAGAAACCACTGAAATATGAAACATTTATATCAATTGTGGGTATATATTATTTAACATTTAGTTTAAGAAGCTTTCTTACAAAACCAAAATAAGAAGCAGCCCTTCAAGGATCATTATAAAGAAATAATGTACTCTTCAAAACATTAAGAAAAAGAAAACTAATAATAATAATTAAAAATAATAATAATAGTAGTAGTAGTAGGTTGATATTCAAGGATCACCTGCTACAAGCTCAGGAGTGTTGCATTCCATAGAAGGAAGTGCAGCAGGAGGGCCAGGAGACCTCCTTGGATGCATAAGGAGCTGCTGAGGAAAATTCAAATGAAAAAAGAGTCTTATAGAAAGTGGAAGCAAGGAAAGGCGGCCTGGGAACAGTACAGGGATGTTGTCCAGGAAGCTAGGGACCAGGTTAGGAAAGCTAAGGCCCAGTTAGATTTAAACTTGGCTAGGGATGTTAACAGGAAGGGATTCTACAGGTACATAGCAAATAAAAGAGTAGGGAGAATGTAGGCCCCCTCAGGAAGCTCTCGGGAGAACTAGCTACACAGGATTTGGAGAAGGCTGAGGTTCTGAATGACTTCTTTACCTCGGTCTTCTCTGGCAAAGGCTCTGACCGCACCACCCAAGTCTTGGAAGGCAGAACACAGGGACTGTGAGAATGAAGACCTTGGGCCCACTGTAGAAGAGGAACTGGTTAGAGACCATCTTAAAAATCTGAACATGCACAAATCAATGGGACCTGATAGAATCCATCTGCGGGTCCTGAGGAGCTGACAAATGAAGTTGCTAAGCCACTGGCCATCATATTTGAAAAATCATGGCAGTCAGGTGAAGTTCCCGACGACTGGAAAAAGGGAACTGTAACCCCCATTTTCAAGAAGGGGAAAATGGATGACCAAGGGAATTACAGACCAGTCTGTCTCACCTCTGTGCCTGGCAAAATCTTCGAGCAGATTCTCCTGGAAGGCATGCTAAGGCACATGAAAAACAACAAGTTGCTTGGTGACAGCCAGCATGGCTTCACTAAGGGGAAATCCTGCCTGACCAATTTGGTGGCCTTCTATGATGGGGCTATGGAACTGATGGACAGCGGTAGAGTAGTTGATGTCATCTACCTGGACTTGTGTAAAGCGTTTGACACTGTCCCACACGACATTCTTGTCTCTAAATTGGAGAGACGTCAATTTGATGACTGGACCACTCGGTGGATAAAGAACTGGCTGGATGGCTGCACACAAAGAGTTGTGGTCAATGGCTCAATGTCCAGCTGGAGACCAGTAACAAGTGCTGTCCCTCAGGGATCGGTGTTGGGACCAGTCTTCTTTAACATCTTCGCCGCTGACCTGGACAGTGGGATTGAGTGCGCCCTCAGCAAGTTTGCCGATGACACCAAGCTGTGTGGTTCGGTTGATACGCTGGAGGGAAGGAATGCCATCCAGAGGGACCTTGACACACGTGTGAGGTGGGCTGATGCCAGCCTCATGAAGTTTAACCATGCCAAGTGCAAGGTCCTGCACCTGGGTTGGAGCAATCCCAGGCACAGCTACAGGCTGGGCAGAGAAGAGGTTCAGAGCAGCCCTGCAGAGAAGGACTTGGGGGTGTTGGTCGATGAGAAAATGAACATGAGCCAGCAGTGTGCGCTTGCAGCCCAGTAAGCCAACCGTATCCTGGGCCGTATCAAAAGGAGCGTGACCAGCAGTTTGAAAGAGGTGATCGTGCCCCTTTATTCTGCTCTTGTGAGACCTCACCTGGAGTACTGTGTACAGTTCTGGTGTCCTCAACATAAAAAGGACATGGATCTGTTGGAACAAGTCCAGAGGAGGGCCACGAGAATGATCAGGGGGCTGGAGCACCTTCCATATGAAGACAGGCTGAGAAAGTTGGGGCTGTTCAGCCTGGAGAAGAGAAGGCTGCTTGGAGACCTCATAGCAGCCTTCCAGTATCTGAAGGGGGCCTATAGGGATGCTGGGGAGGGCCTCTTCATTAGGGACTGTAGTGATAGGACAAGGGGTAATCGATTCAAACTTAAACAGGGGAAGTTTAGATTGGATATAAGGAGGAAATTCTTTCCTGTTAGGGTGGTGAGGCACCAGAATAGGTTGCCCAGGGAGGTTGTGAATGCTCCGTCCCTGGTAGTGTTCAAGGCCAGGCGGAACGAGGCCTTGGGTGATATGGTTTAGTGCGAGGTGTCCCTGCCCATGGCAAGGGGGTTGGAACTTGATGATCTTCAGGTCCCTTCCAACCCTAACTATTCTATGATTCAATAGTAGTAGGAATAGTGGAGTTGATTATGGTTGTCTTCAACTCTGTAGGTATACCACCTACAACTAATGCAGTAAAGCTAACTGCTCTCTTTAAAGATATTCCAGGAGTTTCCAAGAGCAGTAGAAGGGCATCTTTTTTAAAAAATACGTATTTACTGCATATGCATAAGGAGCATATATACTGGAGTAAAGGTACTAACAAGCTGGGGAAGGCCCAGATAGGCCTTTCTGCTCAGCGTGGGGGGAAGGGCTAGATCTTTGCAAACTTGTTGAACCAGTGCTGAGGCAAAGCACAGCACTGGGGGTACATGTGAGTTTGGGTCAAGAAAACAGCAGATTCACAGTAGCTAAGCAACACCCACAGCAGATGCAGGTTTGTGTAATAGCACGAGGACTTGAACACCTGAGCTCTGTACACTGAGTTGCGGGGTCCCTGTATTAGTTAACTGAAATATAGAAGCACAGGCATCAGAGTATAAATCAGTTCTTACTGCATATAAGAAAGGCTTTTGTTTTTTTATGTGAACCAATACAATTTCTGGTCTTGTCACACCCCAGAGGGACAGCAAAGGTGTGGATGTTACAAATATGAAAGGTCCTGGAGACAATTCACAGAGAATGAAGAATTCAGGAAATAAGAAAACTGTACATATTAACCAGGTATGGTTTAGGTTTTATGCTGGGTTGTTGTGTTGTTTTTTTTTTGGGGGGGGGGGGTGTTCTTTAATAAACTTACTTAATTTTCTGAACCTCACATTCAATTCAGCAATTGGCTATGATGATACTTCCAAGATATGTACTTTTAGAAAACTTGAATTTGATTTAAATTTCATAAACTGACAGGGAAGCAAGGTCTGTTCTCAGAAATCAGGAAAAAACATAGAAAATTGACAAGATGTGGAGGATACAGAAAAATGTTTTCTAATGTCATAATTGCTTTATACAAGATAAAAAAGAGGCATCAGATATAGTGATCGGAGAGCATACCATGGATGACTAGTTGATACAGAGAACTTTTTCCGGAGAAGCTGGAGAAAGAGAAGCTGGAAACATTGGATTTCATGATACAATCTTTCAGTCAGACAGGGCACACATTTTATTAAATACCTATTCTTTCAACATAAGGAAAATTTCTCAACAAACACAAACTGGAGGCAACAGCTCTGATTTACAACTCACCAGACAAAGAAGAGGAGAATACAATACAGATTAATTCCTTGAAGCAGCATGTGAGAAATAGTTTTCCTGATGCTTGGATATTCTTCTGCATCTTCCAGTGGAGTTTTTTGATACAACCAAAGGCAGAAAAGGCATGCTGCTAAAGAAATGCCTCTGTTCTCAAAGCTGTGATTCCAGACTTACAGTGATGGAAAGGACCACTTGGACTGTTCTGGTATGTGCTTCTGTGAACTAGACCAGGATCTGAGATCCTCAGAGAGGATGGTTACAAACAGTACCTATACCTTCCTCTTCAAAAGACAACAAAAAGGAAAATGTCAAAACAAAAAGAATAAAAGGAACTGATGGAAACTTTGAAAACAGAGAAAAGTAGTTGCAGTTGATGAAAGCTTCATTTTGGTCAAAGAAGCCTGCTTCCCATTTAAAAGGTTCGAGTGAAAGTGTTCAGCCACTACAGTGTGCAAGTGTAGTAGAGACACATATACCCACACTGACCCTTTTCCAGGCATGCTGTAACTAAGGCTTCACATGAAAGCACGGCTTTTCAACCTGGAGGGCTGGGCTTTCCTAACTTATGATGTAGGTTCAAAAATCTGTGATAAGCATCTGCATACAGTATACCCCAAATTTAAGCCCAGGAATAAATGATATTTCAATACTATCAGCACCGAATCTCACTCAGGTAAAAAGCCCACCTCCTACAGCCACTGAGAAGAATGCTCCCAGTTGGCAGCTTCCGTATTTCTCAGGTTTGTTTTATTTCACAGTCAAGACCAAAAAGAGATAGAAATTGAGGTTAGTGAAAATGCAGCCACAAGTTACAGTGCAGTTCCACAGAGTTACACAACTTCCACCTCCTCTCCTCCTCCAAAAACTGCAGTCAAGAGGACTTTAGACTCCTGTACGTGTCCCGCTGAGCTTTCTCCTAGGGGAATGAGTAGCAGCTTCTATGTACATATTCCTCTGAAACATTTTTATTACTCATTTTGTGTTAACATTGCCTTTGAGCTAGTTCAAGTCTCTCACTAGGAACTAACTTAGGGCTTTCCGGGACTCGGTGGCATCTGCAGCAGGAAAGCCAGATGGAAGCAAGGGGCCAAGGCAAGGTCCGTGGTGGGCCTTGTTTCACACAGCAGTTTGGGGAATGATGTTAGTGCAAATGGTAGTGACAGAAAAAGAAAAGGAAAGCTCACCTGCAGCCTGCCACCACCCCAGCTGGCTGCATACCAGGAGGCCAGCTTCCCTCCAGAGGGCAGGACAAGACCACTAGTTCGTGGAAACACTGTCTGCCATCACCATGGTGCTGGTGGGACACCCAAGGGCAGGCCTGGCAGGGCATTAAAACAAGGAGATGGGAGCATGGCTCAAGGGCGATGTGTGGTTTTGCTGCTTCCTTTGAATCCAACAGTTACCTGCCCTATGTCACCAGGCCCTCCGTGGGCCCTGCCACAAGTGTGGAGATATGTATGCATGGGATAGGCACTTTCCCTCTCCCCTCCAGGACAAGGGTAGTAATGCGAGGTGGGCAATGGCATGTGCTGAGTGACTTCAGGGGCTGTGCTGTTCCTAGCTGCCGCAAGGACTGTCCTTTATCATGGTGGAGGTTAGGCTGCCATTGTTCAAAAGCCTTAATGCAGCCAGGCTTATGTGGTTTCAGGTAGTATAAAGGTGTGTTCTGATGAAAATGTCAAGTTTCTGCTACAAAGATAGAAAATGGATTCTAGCTGTCTTTAAAGGATTGTTACCTGTTACCTTTTCTCAGCAGCCTTTTTTAATAACAGATTTATTGGCTTAGCTAAATTTTTAAAACACTAAGTTCCTTTCCGCCCTCAATTTAACCATCCTCCATACATAAAATTTCCACCATATTAAAATCCTGCAAAGAGAGAAGCAACAAAAAGCAGGGGTCATCAACCGGAGGTGCTAGGCAAGCTGGCTAATTGACAGCTCTACCACCCCTACCTGCAGCTCTCACTTTCAGCATGTATGCAGTGGTAGTCTGTATGATGCTCTTTTTAGTTCTCAGTAACCGTATTTCCCCCCCTGCCTTTATTTTCCCTTTCAAAATGGCGTGGATGGCTTGGGAAAGTTCACAGCCACAGTCTAACCACTGGGCTTACCTAACACTGATCACAGTGCTGATGGCAGACAGGAGAGCTGGAGACAAGTGCACATTGGAGATGAGAAAACCTTGACACTGCTTCAGCCATCTGCCAGCAGGGATCTGGGGGTTTGTGCCTTACTCACCAAGCATGCACCCCTCTCACAGCCTTGGCACTGATCTGTTTTCCAGGAGGATAAATACATCAATATTGAGAGTGATCTGCATGAAAACAAACGTGCCTCAGTAGATGATGAGCAACCACGCTTAAAAGGGTAATGTCTTTTGGATGAGTAAGTTTTCCACTCACTTCACCTTGGCCTAAGCAATAAGCTGCCAGTGTTTGTGCTTCTGGAGTGACAGCTGAAATATTTCACTGCCATACCCCTGTTCTAAACACACCCTTTGTACTGCCTAACAATTGAGTAATACAGAAACGTATTTAAAATTATTACACCTTTCAATTGATGTGTGTGATGGTAGAAAGATTCTTCTAAAGCCTTTCAAATTAAAGGAGCAAGATTTTTTCTCCTTTTCTACATTAATTACTCTTCCGATGTTTCCATAAAAGCCTTTTTCAAGGAGAGGTCTTAAACTTTCTGTCAGGAATTTGAAGATTCACTATTGGCCTTTAGTTTGCATACCTATTTATCCCAGTGCAAAAAGAAAAAGAGACAAGAGGGAGAGGAATGGGAGAGGAAGAGAGGAGAGGAGCTGTATAAAAGCCAGTTTAATGGAGCAGAATTTTTACACCATTAATTCTGGTGTCAGGTGACCTCATGTGAAAGCACACATCTACCTTTTACTTGAGGATTAGTTTATTGGTGAAAACTACAAACCATGCATAGGACATTAAAAAATTAAGAAATAATTTTAAAATCCTGTTTTTAATGTCTTAGTATTTTTCTGTCATATTGAATCTTCATATAAGCCTTCATAGAAATCATGAATCACTGTACTTTTCATATTCATTCATATGACAGCACACCAATTCAGTTTTGAACCTGTCTTTCTATGAGCAACTCACGTACTGGATATCTCAAACAGCAGTTTGTCTTACTCAAATGGGACTACTTGGAAAGATGTCATGCCTGTACACAGTTGCATACAGAAGTAGCTGAGAAGATTTTAGTTATGCTTTCGATGTGTACATACAGAACTTGGACTTGTTAGTATGATCAGCTTTACTGATACCATTATATTGATGCGCAGATTGACTTCACAACTCGTTAAAGTTGTAAAGTAGGTATGCTTTTATTCAGTGCTGAGATGCACGGGGATAATTCCTCAAAGTCATGCATGCCCCAGTGTTGTTTCCCTCTACATTTATCAGGTTGCACCATACGCCTATACATATTCATGTCCTATCCCCGCTTCCTATTACAATGAGCTAGAAGGTCCTATGTGCCTGCGCAGTGCCCCCTCTGGTCTTGGGCAGGGGTCTTAAGATGATGTAAATGAGTCTTCCTCCTGTGGGTAGGGGTCTTCAAGATGAAGTAAATGAGTCTTCCTCTTCTTGAACTTTTCACCTTTTAGTCTTCACGTATGGCCTTAGGGTTTGGTCCCAGCCATCAGCCATCTGCTTCTCCCCCTTAACAGTAGATTCAGGGGGTTGCTTTTCCCTATCAATAGGTGCTTATCGGTAGAATCAGGTGTCTGCTTTTCCTTGTCAATAGAACCAAGTGTCTGCTTTTCCTTGTCAATAGAACCAAGTGTCTGCTTTTCTTTATCAATAGCTAGTGCCTTTGTTCTGCTTAGTAGGCATGATAGGTACAGACAATACCTTTGCTTAAGCAATCGAATTCCTCTAACCCCCCTGTACAACCCCCCTGTACAACCCCCTTTACATTGGTCAACCCTCTGCATCAATATAATGGCATAAAATACTGCTTCAAAAATCTAGCAAAAGTATTTAGAAGTAACTTAAATATTCTTTCGTTTTGCCTCTCTGTTCTTTGGAGGCTTGTCATTTGTTTAGCAGTTCATGAAACACTTTCTTGTTTAAAACTTTTTAGAGAAAAAAAAAAAAAAAAAAAAAAAGCTGAGATTTGATAGATCAAACATCCCAGTTTGATGAGACTCTCCAATGGCATGTATCTAACTTTACCCCACAAGTATGTTAACTGAATAGGCAAGTATTGGTACACAATTGGCTGTACAAAGCTAGTGGGGTCTCTCCCCTTCAAACATGGGCCCACAGGTGTCACTCAACAGGAGGCACCTCTGCACAGAGATGGGTTGAGTTGGCACAGAGCTGAAGCCTGCATGGTTTTTATTCATCCTTGTTTATTTGTACTCCCATGAAGAACCGAGGGATAAAGTTCACAGAGCTTACTGTTCCCAAGGTCCCCTTGTTCTTCCATCAGCAGCAGGTACCATTCCTTCTGGCAGTGAAAGGTCCTCCTGGGCTGTAAGCTGAAGAGCACTTTGCTCTATTCTGATTCCAGTCAGCTTACTGCACTCTCCAGTTCTGTGGTTGGTTTGCTCCTTTGTCTGGGCTTATTTTTATCTTGAGCACCTGACAACTCTGTAACTCAACAACTCTACTAAGCACATGTATCTGTTGGAACAAGTCCAGATGAGGGCCACGAGAATGATCAGGGGACTGGAGCACCTCCCTTATGAAGATAAGCTGAGAAAGTTGGGACTGTTCAGCCTGGAGAAGAGAAGGCTGCGTGGAGACCTCATAGCAGCCTTCCAGTATCTGAAGGGGGCCTATAGGGATGCTGGGGATGGCCTTTTCATTAGGGACTGTAGTGATAGGACAAGGGGTAATGGGTTAAAACTTAAATAGGGGAAGTTTAGATTGGCAGGGGGTTGGAACTTGATGATCTTAAGGTTCTTTCCAACCCTAACTATTCTATGATTCTATGACTCTATGACTCTATAACTTGGGTTCTAAGTTGCTGCTCAGGGATGGGCTGGGTATCAGCCATTGAGTGGTGGGCTTTATCCTTCTCTCTCACTATTGCTACAACTACTACCACCACCACTACCACTGCCACTACTATTATTTATTATTATCATCATTGTCATTGTCATCATAATCATCATCTTATATAAATTATGAAATTGTTCTTATCTCAACGTGTGTGTTTTACTTTTTCCAATTCTCCTTGCCACTGGAGTTTAGGAGGGAGAGATAGAGCCACTGTGTGCTACTTAGCTGCTGGCTGGGGTTAAACAGTGACAACATGTCCCACAACAAATCAAAGGAGTCCCCCCAAAAAGCTCTGCAGATGTCAGCACAATTTTCTTTGGCACTTTGGGGTATCATTTTAAGTCTTACCAGGGGCAGCATATTCCAACAAAGGATATTTAATCAATTTAACCTGATCTTCCTGTGCAAATTACCCTTTTTTTTTTTTTACTTTTTTATTTACATCTTCAGTTTCTTTCTGTTTTTTGGGTTTTTTATTATTTTTGGTTTGGTTTTGTTTCATTTTTCTAGGCATTTAGAAAAGAAATATGATCAAGCCTGTGAATTTTGCAAGAAACATAAGACCAGAATTCACTATGCGATTTATGGAATTTTAACAACAGGTATAGTATATTACACCTAAGGTTGCTATTTATTTACCTTTATGATATTATAGACTTTGTCTGTCTTCTATCTTACACAAAAACTCTTGCCTTAAAGAATACATTTGAAAGGAGATAAAAATGTATTTAGATCCAGAGAAAGTTCCAGATCACAAAACTTCCACTTATTCCCAAACTTAACAAAAGCACAGATCTTGCTACACTGCTCCTGCATCATGCTTCAACTCTGACTAGCAATTACATTTGGGATGAAAGGGTAGTTCAGTTTGCGTCTGCTTCATTACCAGCCCACTCCAGGAGACTTGTTAAATTACAGTTCCAGGAATTTGCCCAAAACCATGCACAAATCACATTAAAAAGTTAGGCATCAACTTGAACTGAACTCAAGTCAGCAGGCTAGAAATGGAAAAAATGTTTTTTCTGAAACATATCACTTGATATCCACAGCAAATGTTTGCTAGAGGAAATAGTTTATGTCAGTATGCACTGCAAAGTCATTCTTCTTTGTCCCTTTCCTAATTAACCACTAGGTTGGTTTGTTTTCTTCCAGTTCACCAAGCTTCTTTTTGAGATCCTCCTACTTGAACACTGAGAACATAAAGATGTAAAATATGTCTGTGTGATACATATCAGCATACCATAAGTGGTTAGAAAAGGGTCATTTGCATGCTGAATATCCTGCCCTCCTAGCATAAGCTCATCTTGCTTTGTCATAGTACAGACATATCTTGGCTCAAAAAAGTGAGTTCTACGGATATCTCAGGGTTAAATCCATAAAAACCGACTTGCCTTACAAAACTCAATAGTTCTTGTGCCTTATTTGCCATAGACAGAATCAGATTATTATTTACAAGAACGGAATATTTCACAGGTCTGCACGTATTTGCAAAGAACCTGCAAAATGGCAAATCAGTTCACAGTTACTTTATGAAGTAAACTACTTCTAAGCTTCCCAATTACTCAAAAGGGCCATAAAATCAGGGAATTGAATGTTTGTGTTTCTTCTACTACTTTTTTTGGATAAACTCATCTTCCTGTGAAAGCAGGAACAAGACCCATTGTTCACAGCTTTTACACAGGAAAAGGCAGTTTTGTAGACATGTTTGATTTTCCCAAGTGATTAACATGTTTGATATGAATTTGTCTTGGCCAAAGCATATAACCTGCTTTGACAGATTGAAAGCCACCTTTCATATCAATGAGCATATCGTAAGTAAAAACACTATGTATGAAAACAAATTTTTTCAGTATTTAGGCCAAGGGTCAAAAAGCACTCAAAAGATAAAGTTTAACCACATCCTTTACATTTGAGATTTGATTTTGTTTTTAAAAAGACCAACCTCACCAACATATTCTTGTTTCTGTGACAGCATATTTGGCAGTAGTCGTTGCAGCCTGCAGCTTGAATTTTCAGAGAGCCTTCCCACTCCTTATCATCACTGTCCTAGCCATCTCCTTCATCTGCTGGGATTTTTTAATAGCTAAGTATGGAGATAGAATTGCTGCATACTTTTCCGGTGGACTACGAAATCTGGAGAAACAGTGGTTTTGGCAGAAATGGTAAATATTAATTACTTCCTATTTATGCAGAAAGACAAAGCATTAGTCAATTTACCCCTACAGTTTTATTTCACCTTAGACATCCATAAGCACAGGGTTATGGATCAATCATACAAATTGCAATAAGATCAAAGAATACATACAGAATAATTTAATATTTTTCAGTTTATAGATGTCAGGTACACCTTTAAGATTGCAATACAGTACCTAGGTATTAAAAGTCTTGTCAGAAAGTGTAAAAATAATTCTTCACATTCAGATAGGACAAGTTTTGGGTTTGAAAAGAGCATGTTCATAGTAGTTCAGGTGTGTTGTAGCCTGCCTTCATTAGGCAGGCCAGAAAGTGCCTTATTGTCACTTGCTCAGAGTGATAATTTTATGAGATACATAAAAAATTTAATTCTAACATATGCAGACTACTAAAGACCAATGTGTGTTACGTAGACACTACTTGTTCACATATCCACATAGCAATTTTTAATTGACCTTTAGGAATGAACCAAGCCAGACATATTTAGTGTCATAATAAGATCAGGCAGCCTTATTTGGGATGATAGACATTCATCTGGTAGACAAATGGTAAAACCTTAGAACTGGTAGATACTGATTCCAAGAATTCCTGAGCAGTTATAGGGAATATTTAAGTTATTCCTGGGAAAACGGGAAGCTAAAGGAGACTTATAGACCAAAGTAAACACCAAATGAATTCTCATTGTAAAGGAAGAGAAATTGGGCAGCTACCTGCTGTCTCAGCTAGGTCACCTTCTGTCAGAGAGAAAGAGCTCTAAGGAGGAGTCTTTTTGTGTTCAGGGAAATGTCCCAATTTTCTCATAAGATTTCAAAATGTTTGCTGCAGGAGCAGAAATTTCTAAGAAAGATGCTGTAAAGATTGTGGTCCTGCTCAGGAGCCACATTAGAGACTAGTCACACACAGACACCTGCACTAGGCAATCTGGCAGCCTCTCTGAGGGAGGGAGAAAACGGAACAGGAGAGCCCTGATGAGCAGATGGAACAAGCCAGGGGCAGTAATAATACCTGGGCTGCAATCCTTAAATTGTACATATTACAAGTTAAGTGCTTAACTAGGTTATGGATTCCTCCAAGAGACAGAAAGTGTCTCAGGTGTAGAAAATGTTATTCAGCCATGCAATGGCTAACCGTTTTGGGTAAAAATAGGTATCTATACTGCCTAAATCAGTAGAAGCTAAACAACTGTTAGACACAAATAACATTAGAGAACTGTGACTAAGCTTATTTTTCTTCTCTGTAAATGGATGGTGTATTTCCTTACCTCTCAGGCTTCAGTATGCAAGTTGAATATAGTTCTGTAATATTGGAGACCATAGAAACACTGAACACAGGTGCACACATGGGTCTTGTCACTGTTTCTGAGATAGCTGAAATTTTTGTGATAAGTTACTTTTCTAAACAGACTACAGCCAGTTACAAAGAAGTAAACGGTTTATAATCTGCACTCTGCAGTTTGGATACACCACTTAAACAGCAGACTGCAATTCGAAAAAAAAACACAGCCTGCCTTGCCCAGAGCTAAGATTCAGTAAAGAACACAGGGAAAGTAAAGGGGGATGGAGGAGAAAGGAGGGTATCTTCTCACACTTCATTTAACAGAGAGAGCTCCCAGACAAGAGTAACTTGTGCTTTACTGAGTTTCCCCTACAGTCTGACTTTGGAGACATGGTTGGAGGACCTTTCTTCTGGATGCCACCAATGAATGTTGTATCAGCAAAGGCAGGTTCCTGCTTATGTAGAGTCACACATTTCAGTTTAATACATTACTCAGAGTTAATTCACAGACTGAGATACAACTATTGTGGGGAGGGGAAGGAATAGCTGTTCTACTTCAGGATGCCATGCTTGATCCTTCTTCTTTTTCCTAGGGTTTTGTGTGCAGCTCTTACTATAGCTATCATCTGCTGGCTCATTTTTGACACAGCAAAACAGGGATCCCACCAGCTGATCTCCTTTGGTGGACTTGTGTTGTATGTTCTCTTGATGTTTATCTTTTCCAAATATCCAACCAGAGTGAGTATTTAATGGTTCTTTTGGGCTTTTGTGGGTTTTTTTGGTTCAATGTCTCAAAAGCTGTTTCTCTATGCTAGTACCAAGTTCAGCAAGAGTAATGGAAAACCCATGAATATCAAATTTTAGGCTTACCAAAGCCTAGTGATGTATTTCATTTCTGAGGAAATTAATTTTTCTCTGGTGTCTTGGGGAGCAGGTGTGGGGCTGTACCAGCATCTGTGTCTCACTATTTTGGGAGTCTGCTGCCTGTCCTTTGTTCCAGCCCTGATGAAAATGATTGGAACACATTTCCTCCTTGTGTATCAGTGCAAGATGAGGCAGGCCTGCTCTATGCTTTCCACTCACAGGAGGTTCACAGCGGTCTTCAGGACATCACAAGCACTTATTTGAGGACACTGTCATCACATCAACACAAAACACGTGGAATTGGAGACATTTCCCTCATTTATGCTGCTCTTAATCTCTCATAAGTTTGATTTCCACTGCAAATGCAGCAGCTGAGGCCAAGCTGAGGTCTTCAATTTTCTCTAACCCACTCCCATAGGCTTGTCAATGCCATTTATTTTAATTTTCCAGATGACGTGCTTTCTGTGCTGCTGTGATATTACAAAGGGTTTACTTTAGCCACCACAACTCCCACTTCAGATTTTACCATTGTGTGCATGCCTAGCATACAGTGCATACTTTTATCAGTCATAAATTAATGACTAATCCATTGCTCAGGTCACCAAGTTTTGCCAACACTTGTTCAACACTCCTGCATCAGTGCTAAGGCTTTCTTAACAGAACAAGTACCCTCAGCAGGGACTCAGTCTCCAACTGAGGTAAACTCATGTACTTCAAGTGGTTTGTGCTCTCCCATAGGTACTTATTAAACCTAATTGGCTTCTGTTATTCAAATATCATCTGAATAAATTGGAGAGTGCCATATCAGGTCTTTGCCTTGTAAATAATAACATTCAATTTTCACAAAACAAAGATATTTTCTGAGGCAGCAAAGCAGAAATCTACAGTATAGTAAAGAGGCACTAGTCATAGGCAGGCACGGTTTTTCCAACTGCCTTTATGTCTTATGAATTGCAATATCTACCTGTGAACAGTTTGCAAGCATCAAAGATCTTTAAAGCTGAGGAACAGAAGCAGAGTTGAAATTACCCAAGCACACACAAAACAAATTGTAGCAAAATCTCCCTATTCCCACTCCAGATATATGAAGAATCTACATGCTCAGTTACTTTGTGGGGTTGTGGAGTTTTTTTTATGTTTCCATTCCAGTTTAAAGGAAGAAAATAATTTTTACTGCCTTGATGTATGTCTATTTAATCTATAAACTTTAGCATAGGAAGAACTCTCTCTCCTTTTCCTACTATTTGGTTTCTTGCTCTCTATGGTGCTGAAATGTGCATGTCCACACTTAACCAAGCCAGGCTTTGATCAGCTAGCTTAGATGGAGACATCCACTTCATAGAGCTCTCAAATCAGGAGAGTTGATTCATGCTTCAAGTCTCCTACCAAGTTGTTTTCGCACCTCTTCCTATCCTGCAGTAGAGTCAAATATCCCCTTACATTGTTTTAACAAACATCTAAAATAAATTATTATATATTTAGATGACAAGGAGTTTCTTTGGTTGGGTTTTTTTTTCCCCTCTTTTTTTTTTTTTTTTTTGTTGGTTTGTTGGTTTTTTTTTTTTTCTGTCCATCTAGGTTGCTTGGAGACCAGTATTTTCCGGAATAGGAATGCAATTTATTCTTGGGCTGCTTATCCTGAGGACCAAAGTGGGTTTTGATGTATTTAACTGGCTAGGCATTCAGACCCAGGTAAGCTACAGGGCAAACAACCCTCACATTTGTATCATTTTCTGTCTTGACAATCTGACATAGCAGCCAGGCAGTTCGAGGGTCCATTTGCCCCTGGATGTTTTCCCCTCTCGAGAAAATCTGGATTCTCAAAATGTTTAGGACTCTCTTAATTCAACCTTTTAGTGTTGTTTTGTTTTTTTTTTTTTTGTCCATTTAACACAAGAACATGTGGGACAGGCTCATAAATAATAGCCAAGGTGACCCTATATCTTAATGGCCTTACCATCCTTGGGCTTATAATCAATTATACCTTGCACCCTCCAAACAAAAAACACTATTGTGCTAGGGCACTCACAGAAACTCTTAGACCTGGCCCAGCTCCAAAGCATCCTTGCAATAAACCTGGTATGCTGGGATTTGGCAAGGCAGAAGTACCATTGTCTTCAGAGAAGCTGCACACCTTGCCCCAGGACCATTTCATAGTTCTCATGGCATATAAGAAAATGAATTCAACTACAGGTGGTAAAATCCACAGCTGCAAGCAGAAAGAGGATCTCCGGAGAGGGGACAGGAACTGTGTGTAGGTGCCCCAGCAGGCAGTCTGCTAAAAGCTCATTACTGTAAAGTAGTAAGTAAGAGAAATCCAAAATGTAGGTCAGAGAGTACCCACTGAAGGGCATTCAGATTTCTCACCCCAGGGATACCATTCTCACAGCTGTTCTTCACAGTGCAGATAATTAAGAGCATTCAAAATAAGACAGTGCAGAATGTACTGTCTCTGCGAGGGAGCAAAGGTACAGGTCTGACGTCTGTCTGGCTGTTAATCTGCAAGAGTGGGAGTCATACGGGTTTTGTCACCAGGTTCTCAGTCTCTCCTTCTGTCTCTGACTGAAGCTGGTCTGGCGCCCCCTTTCGTTAGCTCCGTAGAGTTTATGGTCACTTCTGTCATAGCTTGCTACATACATTACGTATTACATCTCCATTTTTAATTGTATCATTAACTACATATGTTGGCTTCAGGAGCTTGAAAATGCATCATCATATCAGAATTAATAAGTTGAAGGGGTTTTTTAGACTAGCTTTTGGCTACTCCTTTCAGAACTCATTACTTCAGCCACTACATCTCCATTTTGAACTGTATTGTTTGCTGCACTTTTTTGTATGACAGGGAGTGTAGAAATGCACCACAGTATCAAGATTTAAAAGTAAAATCTTCTTCTAGTACAGTTTATGGCCTTTATTGCGATGGGTACTGCAGGAAAATATGTCCTTGCTGTTTACCTAAATACTCTGAAGCAGCCTGTGCTCTTGGCAGAGCAGAACAGAGATACTCAGTTAAGCTAGCCACAGTCAGTAAAGCTCAGATCCGTACAGAGCAGATCACAAGCTTCTTGGACCCCAGCAGATCTCTGTAAGACAACTAGCAATATTTACTTACAGGCAGGCAGCTGGAGCTTATGGCTAACTTTCTCTGTTTTCTGTCCATAGACTTTTCTGGAGTACTCTGATACGGGTGCTAAGTTTGTATTCGGTGAGAAATATATGGATCATTTTTTTGCTTTTAAGGTAAGTCAGGTTTTATATATACTGTGCATGGCAGATAGACAACAGAAAAAGGAACAGTATGGCTGGCAAATAAATTCGTTTTATGTCTTGCGATACTACTGCAGTTACCAAAGAAATCAACTAAGAGATACAGTTTGGGAACCCCACATAAAGCTCTTTTATTTACAGTCATACACTGAATTAGGCTACACTTAGTCTAATTGTGACAACATGTATTGCAAGTAGACAGAACTTTGGTATATGTTTCTACAAGGATTAGGTTAAAAGGCTCCTACCTGGCAGTGGAAAGGCAGTCTATCTTTCCCACCTCTCTACACCACTCTATGATGTGCTATCCTAAAGTGCTGTGCAGATGACTGCCTCACTGATATTTCCCCTGTAGAAGTGGAAAGTGTAGTTACACCAGGTAGAAGAGGTAGAAACTGCCATGTATAAGCAGGAAGAATTACATTACATTATTGTTATATTAATAAGATCTCAGGGAGATTTCCCAACTCTCTCTTAGAACACTCTGTTGAAAAACTGCCCGTATACAGCTTATGTGCTCTGTGCTCTCTAACCTGCGTCAGCAGCCTGTCTGCTTTTGCTCCCACATATAGTCCATGACATAATGCCTGCTTAGGCTGTAATCAGCAACATATATTAAAAAAAAAAAAAACAAAACAAAAACCAAAACAAAAACCAACAAAAAAACTACACACACAAAAACCAACACAACCACAAAACAAGCAAGCAAACACTGAAACAGAAAACCACACCCAACTATGAGAAATGCATAGGGACTTTATCAGAGACCTATCTGGTATTAATCTGACTGGTACTGCAGACACACAGCCTTGGGCTTACACTCCTTTTATCTTAATTTTTCTGGAGGTGATATTTCACACATAGATCTTTCAGTACTTCAGAAAGAAAGAATATGTTACTACTAAGAATGGTCAGAACATCTTAATGGGGAAAAAACCAAGCATTTCAGCAAGAAACAAAAATTACGTTTTCATTGCAGCATTTTTGTAACTTTTGTTTTACTTTCCAGTCTCCTGTCACCTTTACACTATTGAGCATTCAAATGACAGCTTGCATTCATAATTACATATTTTGGGGATGAAAATGTTTAATTCACACCCCCAGTGATATTCATGTGGCTTTCCTCAATGCCTTATGAATATGATTTTTTTCGAGATGATTTTTCAATGCCTTTGGTGATGCAAAGTACTGTGCTGACTAAAGCCATAACTAGGAACCAGACAGTCAAAAGTTTGCTTCTGTGCATGCACACATCCATCAGTCTTATTCTATGGGTAAGTCAGCAAAAGACATGTGGAATGTCTAGAAAAGGCTAACAGGGACAAGTAGATTATAGCAAACCCATGAGTTGATTTTAAGAGCTGCACATCTTGATATAAGAATATATATGGTAAACAGAGTGGCAGATAAGTGCACAGCTCCACCAAAACATGCTTCATCTGTTCATCTTGTGGAGATTTATGGCTTCCAGTGTCTGTGAGCGACAGCCAGCCTGTTCTTTCTTGAAACACTTGTCATTTATTTTTAGATTTAGATGGTCAAAAGTGCTTTTTTATGTCTTTCAGAAATTTCATGAGGTTTGCCTGTAGCACTGGGCTGTCAAAATCTTGCTCCAAGACATTTCAAAGTGCCCCATAGAAGAGAAGAATCTCAGTCCCACCTTAGCTTAGATGGAGAGTAGGCAAGTGATAGGGTATGTCTTCACAGAAAAGTGTCAGAGCCCAGGTGTATCCATACTGCATCCTTATCAGTATGCAGGGAAAACCTCAGTTTTCTGCTTAGATGAACACAGCTACCAGCACATACACATCTCTTGCATGCAGCCACTGGGCATTCTGACCAGACTACAGACTACACGGCCACAACAGACTTTGAGCGCATAGACTTGGAAGCACTAATTAGTCATAAATACATGCATTTGTATGCTTAAACTGGGTTAGTTTAAATGCAGATTTATGTATATGCAGATGTAGGGTTGCAGAGTTCTGAAAAAAAGAACACTTGTCCATATAAACAGGTGCACCCAAGTATTAAAGTAGACGGAAAAGACCTCTTAGAACTAAGTCATCTATCCCATTGATTGCAAAAGGCAAAGTCTGCTTCCAGCAAACAGGATATTAGACTTCTGTTATATCAGTATCTTTCTGTGCCAGGAAGAGTATGACTCCCTGAGAAAGGCTTTGTTTTGAAGGTCAGGCTGCAGGAGTGTCTGAAGCCACGATGTTCCTTAAATGTCAATAGCAACTTCTTTAAAGGAATGTAAGAAAAAAGCTGAACATAAGCCACAAATGGGAGAGGAGTTGTGAGCAGCGAACAGCTTCAACTCCCTTCCTGCATGTAACATAGGCAGTAACCATGAAAGTAGCTCTTTAGTAAGGTCAAACCATATTTCAGCATGGATAAGAAGTATGAAATAAGCCAGTTTATTAAAAAATAGCAATTAAAGAATTTATTTTCTTAAAGATCTCTTTGTGAGAAGCATGAACTGCACGCTGGTAGGCCACATAATTCTAAAGAGCACTTTGATAGGAGTTCTCCATTGAAATGTGGGATTTTTCCACATGCTAACTAGATTATTCATCAGTTAAAGCTAAAACTTGACTATTTAAAGGTATGTAGTAGATATCAGCAGCTATACATATTGGAGGCTAAACTTCCACACAAGTTTGTCCACAAAGGGAATTCTAGTGGTTTAATCATGCAGGTATAATTACAGTGTGGGACACACCCACTTCTGTATGGAAATACCCTAAACCTTTTTGAGGAGTAGGCTTTTGCTACAGCTGAGGTTCATCTGACTTCTCTCTCATATTTCCTTTTGTGGTTCCCTCCCCACTTTTCTCTGGGTTGACAGCTGTCATTACAGCCTATAATGGTGTGTGTATATCCAAATAAAACTGATGAATTTTTTAACAGAAGAAGCAAGTTGGAGACAATCTCTGTCATCCCTGTTCAGAGTAACTGCATCTTTGTGGCAGACTTTTGCACTCAGAGAATAAGAGCACTCCAGCAGAAAGAAGGAACTGGCAGTCCATGAGACAGAAGAATGAGTTTTAAGAGCTTTTCTTTCCTTAAAGCAATTTCTTGCAATCAGTGCATGCTTTCGGAAAAGAAAGAAAAACCAAAGGGGACTTTTGACCTATTATTTACAAGTATATCTCACATTTAGCCAACAAAAGAAACACTGCCAATTAAGGCTGATGTTGCACCATGCCCTCTCCCTGCTGTACACAATGTGTTTGACAGCCCTAAAGTTACAGGAAAAAAGCTGTTCTCAAGACTCCTTAAGATCATCCTTGTGCATCCTTTATTCCCAACAGCCCTTCCCCCATCTACCTCACCCAATTCCCTAGCCCTCCAGACTCTCCCTCAGATACAAAGGTTTGCACGGTCTATTCACTTCCTCAACAGCCTATATCTTGTACCTGGAGCTCTAGTAAGGCTGTGCTCTTTTCATTGTCCTCAGGCCCGCTGCTAGCCTGGGGTCCCTTCACCCTTTAGATGCTTCACCAGGTGCCAGACCCTGGAGCACGATTTGAGCTTTCCTCTTGCTCTCCCATGTCCCTGCACAGCTCTTATCCATAGAGGTGTTGCCTGGACATGCATGCCCTGCTACCTAAGCCCTAACACCCACAGAAGGAGCTCTCTTTTACTGACCCTGTGCCACCTAGTCCCCTGGTTCTGGCATGGCAAAGAAGGGGAAGGAATTGATTGGGAGTGGGAGAAGATTGGGAGTGGGAGAAGATTGGGAGTGAGATCAGTTTTACTATTCTTGTTTCACCCATAAAATGCAACCCCACATAGCCCAGCAGAAAGGTGAAAGTCCTCTTGGGGCTCGTGGAGAGAAGATGTCCACTCCATATAGACAGGGGACAGAAGGAGTTTCTTGTGGCTGTTCTCTCACAAGATTCAAAACCACTGACTTAACACTTAAGCGTATTAACACCATGGGAAGCCTTTGTGTGAAAGTGGGGTTGTTTGAATAAAGTGGTTTACACTTTAAAAAAAAAAAAAGGTTTATAAGAAGTGGGTGGGTTTTTTTCCTTCAGATGAACTAGTTGTTTCATGTTAAGTGCTTTTCATTGTGTTTATCTCTGCAGACCACACAATTGAAAACTGGCTGCAATGTGACATCTTGCAAGTCCTTTTTATGTTCTGCTTATTTTAGAGTAGTAATTTGGCAGTGCTTTCTGTGTAGTTTTGTTGCGCCTTTCATAAAAGCTAGCCTGGACATGACAACTCATTACCGTTATTTACCTCTTAAATGGTTTCTACGCCCTACTGATGAAGACATAACATTAAATCACTGGGGATTTAAGTAGGAGTGCTTAGTTATAAAATAGTACCCAGCTTCTTTATGCAATCAATGCACAAAAGATCACAACTGAAAAGCAAATTCCCTGTTTTGTGAAGACTAATATGTCATTCAGAAATGCCTGCAACTGCAAAAAAAAAAAAAAGGAAAAGCACTTTTTAAAGTTATCAAAGGTATTTTCACATCTAAAAATGTTTAGGAACAAGGAGGGGAAAAGGCAGCAGAGAAAAGGCAGGGCAGAAGGTGAACTGAACTAAACTACAGCTTTCTGAGCCAAACTTTCTGCCATCACTGCATGGCAAACTACCCCTAGAGGATCGCTGAAAGGATCACAAAATCAAACTAAAGAAATACTAACTTTTTGTTGTTATTAGCTAGATATAACTTGTTGAACAGCACAACAATATCTGTGAATTGCACTTTCTCCTTTCAGTGAAAGGTTCTGGACATCTAAACTGAGTTTCCAAACATTTATCAAAATTGCTGATAGTAATAACTCTCCTCTAGAAAGGCATAACTTCTATTCACCAAAAAGGTCTAAATTAACAAAGTGTTTTCTTTTGTTTTGTTTTTTCATTCTGTTCCTTGTTTTCATTTATAACGAATTATGCCCTCAGCTGAGCACACATAAAAGCTTCCTAGTGTTAGCAGTACTGTTTTAACTGCAACAAATCTGTCTGCCTAATTGTGAGCCTTTGGGAGATTATTTTTTTTTTTTTTGTATGTAACTGTCAGCATGTTAACTGCTGAGATCCGGTGCATTTAACATGCTTGAGAATCAGGTGACATTAGTTTTAATCAGTATGAAAAAACAGCACATTTAATAAGCCACCAGACAATGAGTTAGCCATTCATGCAATTCTTTTAAATTACATATTTAAGGAGAGTATTTTATTTTCAGTCTCCCCAGAAAAAGACATATTCAGTTTTTTATATTTAGTAGATATACACCTGTGGATTTGTTTTTAAGCAGATTCTGTGCCTCTGTACAGTTAGAGAGCTCGTGTATACTCCTCATTGGCATTGTAATTAATGTCATAAGTAGAGTAGAATAAAAGGGAATTTTTCTATAGTGTACTATTAAAAGGCAGCTACACAGTATGGGCTTTCTAAGGAAGCTGCCCTCAATTCTGTGAAACTAAGTCAGCTACAATCCCAATCAAAAACTCTTCAACTTCTGTTTATGTAGGAGTCTAAACTATTTTTTAAACACAGACACAGAGAAGCTGAGCGCTGAATTCTACGCCACAGTTCCGCTGTATATATTTCTGCTCCCGGTTTTCAGAGTCTACAGATGTACATGTCCATGCCTTCATAGATGCCATTGCCCAGTAAATATTTGAGCTGTCTTGAACACAGCTTCAAATAAATGTATATCATGCTAAACCAGACAGTTTCAAAATTATTGCAGTCTTGTTAGAAAACTATGTAGATACATGAGAAAAATAGTTAATTCTGGCACAAACATAAACAGTGAGCTAGAAGGTTAAAAAATTGACTGTATAGGTATAAACTTCATGATGAGTTTTCAACACCCTTAAGTGTATCTTCAAAAACATGACCCCTTTTTCTTTTCAAAACTTAAATGGCCTACAGAATCAAGGAAAACCTCTCTAGAAGTGCTAATGATCTTGTGTCTCCAAATCAGGTCCTGCCTATTGTCGTTTTCTTCAGCACAGTGATGTCTATGCTTTACCACATTGGATTCATGCAGTGGCTTGTTGGAAAGGTATGAATTTTTGCCAGTAGGTACTCATTTGACTAGTATGGTACACTTTTTGAACCCATGCAGATGAACTGTAGCAGCACCAAGCTGCTCAAGGGTGACATATGAAAAGTGGTTGTTCGTTTTTAACCCAGAAATAGTTCTAAATATTACCACTGAAAATTCCTAATTGGCATCACATAGCACAATCTCCTGCCCCCATCCTGGTTGTATTGCTAACATCACAGTAATTGTTAGATCTGTCTGGCTAGCTTTAGCATTCCTCAGGCGCCACACTTGCTTAAATCTGCCTTTCTGCCTACCCCTTTCATAGCTCGCAAAGTCCAAGATGGAGGTTACATCACAGGCATTAGATTTCTGCTTTCTACTAAGCATTGAAGTAGCAATTGCATATACCTTCCTATCACAGATCCTCAGGCTACGATCAGAGGCCAGTTCCTCACCTCAAGATCTAAGTGTTTGTTTCTGTCAGGTCTTCTGTCCACCATCTGTATCAGTAAGTTCACAGAAAGTCCACTTCCTGCACTGTCCACCCAATAAACTTACTATATGAGGGAAAAGATCTTCCTGCATGGTGGTAGTTAAACCTTACTTGAAGATACTCCTTAAGAGTCCTTTGTCATCCTCATTCACGAATTGTTATAAACAGCACAAATCTTACCTATCTGAAATAGTGTGCTAAAATTTCTATGAGGCATTTTTAGCTTTTATTAAGCATTTTTAGCTTTAATCTAAATTTCACATTTTTTTCCTTCATATGATCCAAGTCCCTTTGGAAAGGTGTGTAATTAATAAGCACACATCAAAATATCTGATTTGATCGATTTGGTTTAACTATTTAGTGTCCAGGAGGATCCTGAGGTACTCTCAATTCTGTTCAATTATTCTTGTCTTATTTCCAAATGTTACTATTAAATTAACATGCCACATCTTGAAGCTGAAATTATTAACTCATGAAATAGTGTAAGGTGTCTCAGAATGCTTACATTAATTAATTCAAGAAGTGCATGGAATAGGCAGACCAATGTGGTTTGTTTATTTTTTTCTTTTTTAACCATTTTAGGTTGGTTGGATAATGCAGATTTTCATGGGGACAACTCCTGTTGAGTCTCTGGTAGCTGCGGGTAACATATTCGTGGGACAGGTGAGTTAGAGCATAGAAAACCATGCTAGCACAGGGTAACTAAAAATTGTGGAATACTGGTGTTCCTCATGCATCTGTGTATAAAAAAAAATCATAATTTCATATTAAGTCAGGACTCCAATACAGCAGGACTGGTGGCTGATTTCCAGAATTTGAGACTATTCATATGTTGTCAGCAATGCACAACTAGGTAGGTTTCAGGAACCATATGTTTTCCCAACAGAAATTCAAGCAAAAATGTAGGTCACAAAGCATGTGACAGAATCTAGCAGTCCATTTTAATAGGAAATCCTTTAAACCTGCAGTACAGCAGTGGCTGTCCCAGGCTTCAAAGCAATGTGGAGAGATCAATATGTAGCATTCAAGCCCAACAGCAACCTTAGCATATCAGTCATTTAGCAGTGGTGCATCACTGCACCTGCTTCAAGATTTAAACTAGTACTTCTGTATGACACTGCTTCCAGGATGTGCTCACACACATGGCAGAGAGGCTGGGAGCTTTAAGCTGCCTGTAGTGGATGGTACATCTATTTCACCTGATGCACAGCCTTGCCTCTGGCTGTACCTAATTCAGACATAATTAACTGGATTAGGATTTCTTGCCAATTTCATTGGGCCATCAGGGGAGACAGCAAAACACAATTCTCTTCAGACAAGATGGATATTAGTACGATTTTCTATCTTGGTGTAAAAAACAAAATCAAACCCCACTTATTAAAGCACTCATTAGCACTAAGATTAACTAGTCAAAGACACCTAAAAAAGTGTGATGCCCTGTTAATAAAACAACCTCTGAGGTCTTAAGAGGACGTTCTTAATTTGGTATTTTTTTGATTCCAGACAGAGTCTCCTCTCCTGGTACGGCCCTACTTACCATACATCACCAAATCTGAACTCCATGCAGTCATGACAGCAGGATTCTCAACTATTGCTGGAAGTGTCTTAGGAGCATACATTTCTTTTGGGGTAAGATGGGGAAAGAAAACTGGAAAATATGTTGTTTATCTGAAATCATGTAAGTACGGAAGTCTGGCTAAAATGCTTTGCAAGTACACCTGAGTCATTCCCATATCTTTTTTTTTTAATGAAGGAATGAACCTGAGAAATCCCATGTGTTCTGACAGTAAAATGGATACCAAGATCTGATGCTGAGGGTACTAAGTAGCAGAAACATCTGCTTGTAACACAGAGAGAATTCCTGCCATAGCTGCAAGGAAATGACTGATTTGCATATTTTACTATAGTCCACATGAAGTGACATGTGGAATATACTTACTAACTGAACAACTCTCCCACTTCTGTTGCAGTGATACAAAGTCCTGCAGGAACTATTGCTAGCCACAGGAGCCTAAAGGGTTAACTTGTGAGGTTCTAGTGAAGCTTTACGAACAAAGGTAGTAAATAGCTTGTCTGCTAAGGGGCTGGCAACACAAAGCCAGAAGAACAGGGTTAAAGGTGTGATTTATGATCAGAGTCACTGGAGATGGTTGATAAATATATTAGTTCAATATCTGAACATACAGTGGGGAAGCAGAGGCAAGATGCGAGTATTGGCCAAAAAGGCCAATTCAAGAGAAGAAAAAGAGAGACAGAAATACTGCAGAAGATAGCAAAAAAAGTTGTTTTGTGTAGAAATTTGTGGAATAAGGAGTGAAAGGAGAATAGAATTTATGTTAGAGCATGTAAATTTTTTTTTTTCAAACACAACTTTAAAGGATAAAATCAATTTTGTCCCACTGCATATCATACAGGGGGTCTTAAGGAAGGCTGACTCTTGGTCACCGGGTCTGTTACTGCTACACCCAACTGCACTCTATGGACCTAGCTTTTTTTTGTTTTGCCTTCAGGCTTGCCACTAGTCAGAAGTAGTTTGCCTCTTAGAAAATTAGTCCATACTTTTCACTACCTAGATTTTTCCTGAGTCAAGTTGGTTTTCTCCTGTATTGCTCATTCTCTTCCGTCTGAGCAATGTGAACTTTTTAATGACCCCCTGCAGAAAAATCATCCAAGCGTCTAAAAATTTCAATCTCTTTCTTCCATGTTGTGCGTATTTTCTGTCAACTGGAATTTTAGGTTTCTGCCTCCCACCTACTGACTGCTTCCGTCATGTCAGCACCAGCATCATTAGCCACTTCCAAATTATTCTGGCCTGAAACTGAAAAGCCTATGGTAACTCTGAGTGGGCTGCGGGTGGCAAAAGGGTAAGCTGATCTAAGCTCTAGTTAATAGCAATACTCATGCACAAATGAAACTTGGAAAAATAACTCCTTGCACATAAGCTTTAGAGGTAGCACACAGTAGATTTGCAAGCAATAAATCAATGGCACACCAATATACCCCGAATTACTAGTTTGTGAATTCAGGTGCAGCATGTCCCAGTACGATGTATGGAGGTTAGCACTACTCACTGGGACAGGCACAGGGGTGCCAAGGACCTCAGCCAGACAGTAAACTCTTCAAAGAAAGAGGGAAATGCCTACCTGAGGTGAGCCACCAAGAGGTTTTCTCATACACCTTGTTGCTGTCTGTCCCTTGTAACAAATCTGTAAATGCAAACGTACAAAAGCAAGAGTGGAGCATTTCAGCAATGACAGCAGTGAACTTGTTGCCCAACTGTAGGGAGACTCACTTGTGTTGAGAGCAGGCAAAGCAAAAAAGCTTGTAAGAAGCTGTTCCTGAGCAGCTCAGGCATCTGTGCAAGGGTTGCCTGGAAGAAGAGCAGTGCCAACTCCCTTGTCCCAGTGGGGGACAGGCAATCACAGTACTGTGACCTGATCCAGATCTTGCCCAACCCCAAATGTGCCAGAATTTATCCTCAGGGCACCAAAAACATACACCCTCAGTGGCTCTTAAAAGGATCAAGAGCAAGAACTTTCTCCACATCATCACTATTTCTCTTGTGAGTGAACAGACAGCTTCAGTAGTAGATTTCAAATTAAGTCAATGTAACTTTTCAGTCTATGATTTGTTTTTGAATTAAAAATTGTTCACACTTTTTTTTCTTTTTTTTTCATTAATAAAGTGAATCAAAGAACCTACTGGAAGCAGCCAGTCAAGGTGCTTCTACCTCCATTCTGCTGGTAGCAAACATCGCTGTGAATCTGATCTCCTTCCTTGCCCTGCTAGCTTTCCTTGACTCAGCCCTGTCTTGGGTGGGCAGTCTGTTTGACTATCCACAGCTGAACTTTGAGGTATGATGATCTGGTCTTTCAAGTCCTTCATGCAGCTTATATATATGTATAATTTGCCTTTCTCAAATTAAGTGCCTGTATGGTTAGTTGGGGCTTTTTTTGGTTGGTTGGTTGGTTGGTTGTTGGGGATTTTGTTGTTGTGTTTTAATATGGTCTAAGCCCATATATTTTTGTGTGCATGTTTCTGAAAACTGTTTTTACAGCCAAAGGAAAATTGTTGTCATGTAAATATTTCTATATACATTAGTTCATGTATAGCTTCCCTCTGTGGTTCTTGCTAACTAGCAGAGTATATTTACAGATCATTGTATGCTAATACCTACCTCCTCTGACTTGGCAGTGCAGCAGATGCCAAGTCAGTTACACAATTCCCAGGCCATTAACATTCAGCTAAACTTTAGAGTGGCTTTAGCTTCAGAGCCCCATCAAGCCTTTAATGCTCACTAGCTTCAGTTAGATAAGGATACTGGGGCAAGGAAGGACTTGTCTGAACCCATGCTTAATGCCACTTATTTCTCAATGCAATTATATTGCAAAACTGCACCCAGATCACTCAGCTGAGCAAACAGGTTTTAAACAGGACTTCTTTTGCTTACCTAGGTCCGCATATAATTTTTGATCCAATACAACAATCTTGGTTCAACAGTTTGGGACATTTTGTTCTGCAAGCTTCTAATAACAGTCCTTTGTGAAACACAGATATAACATTGCAATAAAGGTGCTGTAAAAGCGAATAAATACTCAGAGCAGACGTGGCTTCAGCAATATTAAGATGTTACCCTGCACAGCTTCCACAGGTTATCCCACAGCAGACACCCACTGCAGAGGGGGTATGCATACGTCAAGTATGCATACCTCAGCCACACTCATGCAAGGGCTGGGGTTTAATACCTGCTGATGGAGTAAGATTTGGACAGATAGGTAAACCATAAGGACCTGAGACCCACAGACATGCTACATTCAGCCATCTGTTCCTTTTGAGAGACGCTAACGTGTAGTCTTTTTTGGACAGAGAAACCAGGAGCAGTAGCTGCTTAAACATCTCAGTTATGTTCACTAAGGACAATGTGACTAAACCCTTTCACAGCCAGAGTTGTTTTCTCTCATATAAAAATAAACCATACTGCATAAAACTTACAATGCTAGAAAAAAAAAAGGTACAGTTTTAATTGTGTCAGCTTTTATGCATAGACAACTCTTGTTTACATCAGTTGGAGTCCAAAAAACCTGGTAATTATGCATGTTCATTAACATACTTGATTTAATCATCAGAATAACTAGACTTCTCAATCTCTTATCAGTTCTTTTGACTTGACTTTCCTTCTTTGCTTCAAACACTACACTCAATCTGAAGCTATTGTTGGGGGAAAAGGTACTGAAATTTTTGGTTTGCTTTAGGTGTAAAATTAGGGACATATCAAATTACTTTTTAGATTTTGGGTTGGTCTTTTAGAAATTACTCAAGCATACCTCACTATTGAAAACGTTCAGTCTCCCAGATGTGTTGGCAGCAAGAACTGAAGGCCAAGTTTCCTCTGTTAAAGAAAACCATTTATTTTAGGCTTAGGGAACGTATCACATACCTTTGTTCTTTGAACTTTTGACCTGCTTTCTCTTATATATTTTGCAGAACATTTGTGCCTATGTCTTCATGCCATTGTCTTTCATGATGGGGGTAGACTGGGAAGACAGTTTTATTGTTGGTGGACTACTAGGTTACAAAACTTTCTTCAATGAATTTGTGGCTTATAAGCGCCTCTCACAACTGATTCACAACCGAGAAAAGGGTGGGAGCATGTACATTAATGGTGTGAAACAGTACCTGACTGTAAGTAATACTTTTTATTGTCCAGATTTGTGGGATCTAATAGTTTTCTGCTGGAACTCAACATATTTTTTAATATGGGCATAAAGGGATAACGGTTGTATATTACTCTAAAGTGTGTCTTTCAGTGACATAGTTCAGTTGTCAAAATGCAGCATTGCTTTGTGAAGCTGCCATGACTGTCAGCACACTAGCTATTTCAAACATAGCAGAAGAAAGGCATAGTTTTGAAGGACATGTAATGTCCCACAAGACACTGTGCTTAAGATGAACTCTGTCTTCAAGGTGAGTGTCTTCTTACCACACTCTTAGCTAGCTAGCAGCTATGAGGTACTCTCCCAAGAAAATCCTGGGCAAACTGGAAGATCCTCCTGCCTGCAGAAGTTAAGCCAGGAATTAAACTTCAAGCCAAGAGGCAAATCCAGCAAGTTTTAGGTGATAGCCTTGAAGACATTACCGGCACACGTCTCCCCTGTGCAGGGGTCAGAGGTTAAAGATTATGTATTACATGGCATACACCTCCCTTGCCACAATAAGTCCAACCAATTTGTTTCAACTGTCAAACAAAAGTTAGTTTGCATGTGGATTTCCAGCTAAAGCCTGGGCCTGTTCTCATTCACACATCCACCCAGATCCACCCAAAAGTATGCATAATCCCTGAAGAAGTAACCTAGAGAATGGCAACACAAAGAGCAACCTAGGTGTGTGCACAGAGGCAAAGAGCATGCAGTGATCAAGGCTGACTTTTGTCGCTATAACTGTTCTTTCTATCCAGCATCAACCTGCGCTGAATTTTGTCTCCTTCCAAGCACAGGCAATGAAAAACCTGATATTTGTCTTTTTGCAGCTTCACTGGCTTTTCTTCCTCAAATCAAGATGAATTGCCATTGTAGATGACCCTTGATTAGGAAGCATCCTTTTGTACAGCTTTTAATTGCCAGTTAAGCTGGTGTGATGCTGTGGATACCTGCCTTCTACACAAAACCAAAAACATGTTCCTGACCATGTTTGCCTAAGCATCCATTACCCTTCCTGGAAATCCTGGAAATAGTATCCTGGGCTAGATAGATAGAGTTTTGATCTACCCTGCTGTAGTCATGCCATGTTCTACAACTGGAATATGGGTCTGAACTCCTGAATGACTGAATAGGGTTGGTTTTTAATCTGGAAGTCAGCCTTAAGATGCAGATCCCATCAACTGTATTTCATCTTCTTTTTCTTTCTTTCTTTTTTCTTACAGAACTTCTACATTAACTTCTAATAACTATGAAGAGCTGTATTAAATTCCATGATAAAAAATGGAGAGATATAAAAATAACTTTGATTCATAACATAAAGAAAAATTGCCCAGTAACGATTTTAATTGCTGCACAATTCAGCTGAGATTACACTTGATTTCCTTTTTTAATTTCTCTTCGGCTTCAGAACTCTCTAATACGTCCAGTCACTTTCAGAGAGAACAAACAAGTGGCCTTCAGACCTCACTCACCTGAGTCACTAATAATAAGGCTTCCTGTTTTCAGACCTAGGAAAGTTCAAATGAAAGCCGGAAAATCACAACACATAAAGCCTTTTCTAGGAAAAGCGGATAGAGTGGGCACTTGAAAAGCATTTTCCTGCATATGTGCAGACTGATTGAAAATATCTACAAATTGGTCTTCATAAAACAGGAATGGAAACAAAAGCTTCTAACAAACAAGAAACCTGCTAGAACACTCAGGCATCTTCAGCTTGTGTCTAAATCACAGTAACTAGGAGCTGAAAGCTGTCAAGGGGGGATAAAAATCCATTTGCTGAGATAGATTTTCTCCTTTCCCAAAATGTTAGAACCACATTCTTCTGAAGATTTTCAAGACTTTCAGCCCGATTTCGCTCAGAGTGATTTTGTGTCCCAAGAGCAGTCCCTCCGTGGGAGGAAATACCAAACCAGCCTTGCTTTGGTCTGAAGTCCAGACTGAGCCGGTGTCACCCAAGGGGAGGAAGATGTCTGAAGTGAGGGAGGAAATAAGCTGCTAATGGGGATTCCAAAATCATAATGACCCTCTGCTGTTCTCACATCTCACTCTCTGTAAGACTGATTACCCTTTCCCTCTTCTGTACACAGGGTGGAGCACACACACAGCAGCTTGGCTCAGGGAGCCAGTTTTCTGCTTGTTCAAGGACAAAGAAGTCAGGAATAAATGCCTAAACTTGGGGCTTCAGCAGTGCTATAGAGGCAGTCCAGCTATAGGCAATAAGCTGAGTTAAAGTTTTCTGACTCATGCCTTCATAAAACAGAAGATAAATTGCCACTAATAAGAAGAATTGGTTTTTGTCTTTAATTATTAGTACTCAGTTCAACAAGGCACAACAAATTACATGAAAAATAAAACCATCACATGGTTTAAGACTCCTCACAAAGGCAGTGGGTACTTCTCAGCAAGAGTGTGAGCCTAGCCTGTTGAAAGTCATGTGCTGGGGCAACAACCAAGCAAAACAGAGTGATTTCACTGCTCAGAGCCCTGAGCCACAATGCCATGTTTTCTGATCTCTAAATAAGCATGAACTGCCTCAAACCACTGAACAGGGTGTGTGTTTGTTTTCCAGGTTCGCTCTGAAGTCATTGCCACCTATGCTCTTTGTGGGTTTGCCAACTTCGGCTCTCTGGGACTGGTAATAGGAGGCCTGAGTAAGAATACATCTTGCGTTATTTACCGAGCAGCTTCTAAAGAAAATAACCAAAGGAGCAGGCTGTAATTAAAGCTTAGCAACATTAAGGGCTGAGCAGGTGCTCTCCTAAGACCCAACACCCAGTGGTGCATGGAAGGGCTCCCACAGGAGTGCAGGCTTTGGTGTGGATGTACTATGAGAGAGGCTGAGGGCAAGGGGAGGGGACCAAGCCCTGCAGACAGGCCTCCTTGTCCAGCCCTCAAACCATGAGCCTGAGCTACTACAGCTCTTGGGCTTCAAGAGAATCAAACCATCTCTGGAGCTTGCTGGTCTGAAAGAAGTTGGCTCTTTTCTGTAAGTGTCACATACATGCAGTAGTCTTACAGGGGGGAAAAAAAAAACACCACAGAAAACAAACAAACAACAAAACTAAAGACAAACAAAAAAAACCAACCAAAAGAACAAAAAAAAAAAAAAACACAAAAAACACAAAACCAAAAACAAAACCCAAACCAAGAACTTTTCAGATCTTGAGGGAAAAAGTTGAAGGAACTTGTGTTCTCCTCACCAGGCAGCCAGAATCTCTAGCAGGCACCTTTACCTGGGAGCCTAGTGGGCTCTGCAGTGCCAGCAGTGGGCCAGCACAGAGGAGCAGGACCCAGCACAGCGCCAGACCCCAGTGCGCTTCATAACGTTTGCTTCTGAAAGCCACCACTGGCCAGCAAAAACATTCAAAATGCAGAAGCAAACTGCAGTTCAGTTTTATACACAAGCCACCTTCTTAACAGAAAGAGCCAGCATTGGCACTAGGCCTTCAAATGGCCAGCTAAAACTGTCTTGTTTCCCCTTCTTGCTTCCCCTGGTTCAAACTGCAGGGTGGGGATTTCCTCTTGTGGTGGAAAAGACAGCAAGTTCCTCTTCTTTATATCTTCATGTACTTATGTTTGACACACACTTTCATTTTCTTCCTAGCAAGCATTGCTCCCTCTAAAAAAACGGAAATCGCTGGTGGTGCTTTCAGAGCCATGATTGCTGGTACTGTCGCCTGTTTCATGACAGCCTGCGTTGCAGGTACCGTATCCAGGTTTGGTGTCTCTTACAGTCGCTGACCACGGGGTGGCAGTGCGTAACACGAGAAACAGCTCCTGACACTCAACGCTAGTGTTCGCGAGTTTGGCAGGATTAAAAGTTAGTGTGAGATGGAGGGTTCAGGGGTTATTTCATTTCTTCCATTATGTCTCATCTATTTTTCTTTTTTTTTTTCTTTTTTTGTTAGCCTGTGTGTAACACATACCTCTTGGGCAAAGCAAGTTACAGATGAGTTACACACCACTGGCTACAGAAATGCAGAAGTAATTACGGAGCAGAAATGGAGAAGTGGAATGAATGGAGGGTGTAAGGATAGTGAGGAGGAAACTGAAAGGACTTTTGCCTTAACATTGAATTGATATTTTGGGCTGATATTATTCAGACAGAGCACTTAGATTAATGAAATTGCCCTAAGGTGGGACTCAGCAACAGATCCTTATTTTCAAGGTCTCACCTTCAAGCTGAATAAAGAGTCACAATGCAATAGCCATTTTAGGGAGGAAATTAGAAAGAACATGATATTAATGATTTGAAAGGTTAAATAATTGACCAGATATTATTCAGCAGGTAAAAATTACCCCCATGTTTAACAGCACCTTTCCCAGCTTTCTTTTCGGGCATGTGATATGCAGAATTATATAATGAAGCTTAAAGCACTCATATTCCTAGAGCAATGAAAGGTGTTGGTGCTTTAAGTTGCTGAAAACGGCATGTCTGCTTCCACCATGGATTCCCCATCCCTTTGTCTTCATTGCAGGAACAGAAACATACACATTTTAAGTATAAGCACAGTATTTTCTGCAGGCTATAGAACTAGTACACTAGTGCTTTTCCTTACGCCCAGAAGAAGATAAAACAGCCAAGCAATTTCTACTACCCAGTTAAGATAAGAACATATTAAAAATGTGTCCACATTCCACAACACTCTGTGAAGAAGGAGCTGTCACTTTCATATTCATTACTGCAATGAATGCAAATATTACTATTTATAGGAAATTTTGTAGGACATCTAGCAAACCAAAGATAAGTAATCCATAACTATAACACATCTAAAAGAAAAGAAAAGGTTTTGAATTTGCTTCCATTGCTACAAATGCATCACAGTTCCACTTTAGTTACTGAAAGCACTCTGGCCCAGCAGTGAGAAAGCCATTAGCATTCTCTGGCTTAATGACTAGGTACTAGCATCCTTCATGGAAGGAGTGGGAATAGGATGTGCTTAAGGTTTTCTTCTTCAAAATACATTTTAGACTACTGTGTTTTTCTGCTGACTTTAATGCTACTAAAAAGGTCTGGTAATGGTTTTCTCACTGCTGGGCCAGAGTGCTTTCAGTAACTAAAGTAGAGCTATGCTGCATTTGTAGCAATGCAAGTGATCATTCCTTAATCCAGTTCTTTAAAATCATACAGATTTTTTAAAAGCCTCACAGTTTGAGGATTTTAATCTTGCACTTACACAGAACCATCTCAGAGGCTGATTTCAAATCAGCCAGAACATTTCAACTGACCATGCCCCAGTGCCTGACATCCCCAAGTTTTACCTTTCTCTTCATTACTCATTCAGAAAGTTGTTACTTGCTTCACAGGAATGCTGATTGTCCCTGGTCTGGAAGTTCCTTGCCACATCTTATTAGGAAGTGCCTTCAATTCCACAGATTTCCCTGCCAACAGCACAGAGCTAGTCGAATGCTGCCAGCAACTCTTCACCAGGTATTGAGGAAGTCTTTTATCTTTCTGTCAGCATAATTTAAGAGCTCACATATTCACTAAAAGCTTGATTTTTATTTATTTTTTAATCTGGCTTATTTTCTTAGGCACCTGTTTTCCATGAACTTGCATCTTTTAATGCTGCTGAATAGTTTCCTTTTCCTGGGCATTTCTCTGTTACATGCCAAGCATATATGGAACCAACAGAGAACTCAAAAACATTTTTGTCCAAAACTGAGCTTCCTGAAGTGCTAGAGATAGATTACCATGTAAAGATTCAGTGGTTTAGCTCAGGCTCATCTCAAATACTAACAAAAAAAAAAATAATCAAATATTTGAATAACTCTAGCTGGGGAAAAAAAACCAAACCAACAAAAAAAACAACAAACCAAACAAACAAGTCCAGGAGCTTTTCTTTATACTACCTGTGAATTTGGCTGAAGATATTATTGATCATGCCTGTTTATATTTCAACTAGAAAGATCCTCTGAGGTAAATTGTATTTGATGTTTACCTATCTTGGGTAGAGAAGAAAGAAACAGACATACTTAACACTACCTCACAAAAAGCAAGGTATTTTGTATTTAAGCTATGTTAAGAACCTTTTAAATTTCTTGTAATGTGATGCTTATTTTTTCTATTTTCATGACTAATTGCTTTAGGAGTAAATACTCTATTTCAACTTTTTTTCCATTCTGTTGAATGCAGAACTTTATCTTCCCTTTCACATTTCTTTTAGCAAAGACAGTGCTCTAAGATTGAGCATTTCTGTACAACAAAACATACAATATAAATGTAACAGTGATGTTGCTGTAATCTGACCTGCAAGAATCCTCTTGTCAAAATCCTCAAAAGGGGAATTTTCTTCGGTATTGATTGAACTGGATCTGCCTTCACAACCCCTCAGTTAACTAAACAGGGAATTTGTGTGTGTAGTAGAGAGATACCTTTTTACGTCTTCTTAACATCAAGACTTGTGCAACTTAAAATTTCTGTGCCATTTAACTCCTCATGTTGGGGATCAAAATTCCAATTCTAACTTCAGGTGATTTTTTTTTCCTGTATTCTTTTAATACATGTATTTCTTCTCTCCATGCCTTGTCTTAAAAAGTAGCTTTGAATATGGGCATACACACTATGTATGGTGCCCTTCTTTTTATAGTAACATTTTTAGATTTCAACTACTCATAAAAAATGTAATTTAAAAAAATCATTTATACTGGTATCAAGATCACCAGCTTCTGCCTGCACATCAGCAGTCACATATTACTGCAAGGAATCTCTATTTTTGCAACCTGATGTTCCAAATAATAATGTTTTAACACTGAGCCAGTGTAAAAAAACTTTTTTACACAGTAAAAATCCTCTGTGATATTAGGTACATTCTTTCATATTTCTTCATCACTCCAACTTTTATTCATCACACTAAATTTAACTCTACCATGTTTCTACAAAGACAAGAATTTGCTTTGTTTTGACTAGAATCAGTGTTGAAGAAATGCTCAAAAACCTTGAATAGTGAATTGAAAACCTCAGTTGTTTCAGTTATCTAGGAAGATGTACTCAAGGCCTTTGTGCAGAAAACCAGACATCACCGCTATAAAAAGGGAGAGCATTTAGTCGTGGGACACGGCTCATGTTTGGAAAGTCTTATCTTTGTTTCATTTCTCATGAAAATTTTAACACTTTTGAAGCTGCTTTGGGGAAAGCGTGCGTGTGCATATGTGTGTGCGTACGTGTGTATTATATAAATACATACATACAGACAGAGGGAGAAAGATTCCCATAAGAGAAAAGGAGTATATCTGATTTCTGCTTCCATCTTCTTCCCCAGTGTAAATCAATCTCGGGAGATCTTCCATGAAGGAAACTATAGCATTAGCTCCTGGAAAGGATGTTGCCAGATACTGGATCAAGCTGCTCTTCATTGCACTTGGATTAAGCCTTAATTTGGAGGGGGGGACGGGACGGATGGATTATAAATAAATGCTGTGTTCGTTGGTAGAAAGGTAATAAAAATTCCATTTTCCACAAGTGTGAATCCAACCCCCAATATTTATTTCCCATCTTTTACCAGCCTAATTCCTCTGACTTGCTTTGAGTTACTCATAAATCAAACTCAAATAACTGAAAGGCACCTCTTGCCACAAGTCTCTTTTCCCATTACAGATCAAAAGAAAAAAAATCATTTTTGAGCCTGATTCTCTTGATTTTATTTTACCCTGAAAGTGATGAATCTGTAGAATTAAACTGCTGTAGATAAGAAGGAAAACTGACCCAGAAAAGATATCACAGCCACTTAAGATGTGAAGTCGAAATATTTATAATTGCCATCCATTCCTAGTAGTATTTCTGCTCTTTTTGATACTAAAGAAGTGCTTTTACTGCACAAAGATAAATGACCCTGTTCTCAGAAACTTTTGCACATTTTCTCTGGTAACTGTGGCTACATGTGAACTGAGCTGTTTATGTGGTGTACCTCACCACTTGATCACTGACGCAGCCCCAGGGGACTAGCATCTGTGTGCCCCAGTCACCCTGGTCCTTGCTTAGAGGTTACTCACATGAATGGAAACGTCTAAACTCAAAGGAAAGTTTCCTGTATAGATTCTTCTCAAACTTTGCTATTAACAATTGTTGTTGAACAGCGTAGTCAGCAACCAGGAACTTGGAACACTATTCCTATCAGAAAGAAAAGAAAAGCTTTGCTGGAAATCAAATGTGGGTAAAGTGAAGTCACAATCTGACTGCTCCCTCTGAAAGCAGTATTAATGATTCTTCAGGACCTCTGGAAGATCCTCCTGAAGTGGAAAGACAGTATATTTTTTAGCTGAAGACCTTTCATGGACTTTAAAACTGAAAAGTTCTTTGCAGATGGTTTTGCAAAAGGTATATATATATATATTCCTATCTTAATGCCAAAGACTTAGAAAAAAAAAACCTAGGAGCTGAAGCACAGGAATATCAGGAAGTCCTGACATACTCTTGAAATCAAACTTGTGCAGATGTGAAATTGTGATAAAACAATATCTAACTTTTTTTAATCTTCCATTAATTATTACAGAATCTGTTCAGGGAAATGCAGATTAATGAATTTAGCTGCCAGTACAGCTATTTTCAGGAGGCATTTGTTTGACTTAATAATAAAAAAAAAAAAAAAGCTAGTTTCCTGTAAAACTCAAGTTTATTAACTTAAACCTCTGAAGATTTTTAAATGCCAGTATTACTACTACTTGTGACTTTCATCACAGGTTAGATGTTAGATGTTTTTCTTTGGCCTTATCCACCTAGATTTAGGAGACTGCATGTCAAACTCGATTTTCACTGTTTTTAAGGAGTGTCGCTAATCCTGATAATGGCAGCTATATACGCTCAAACATTTTATGCAAACCTCTCCTAAAGAAACTGCATGGGTTTTGTCCACAATTTTTAGCCAGCATCCTGGTTATAGCAGGGTTTAGCTACACAAATAAGCTTAGAGTCTGAAATAGAGAAAAACATTCTTTCAAGGAAAATTAGTCAGAAACATTAACTCTCACTGTCAAACAGAACACATCCCACATCCTCCATTTATAAGTCATCACTGGCATTAGTGTGCTGCTCCCTAGCATACTCTAGTTAATATTAGCCTTTTGAAGTGGCTGCTTTTCCCATCCACACAATTATAAGCTCATTGAAAGGGCTACTCCAGCTAGTAAAGACAACTATGCATGAACTTTTAGCTTGAGGCAGCAGCTTTCTTCCCACAAAAGAGATGTTCTGTGTTTCTTTTCTTTTTTGACTTTACACCTGACTTTTATGTCTCCTTCCCTCCGGTGGTGCAAGGGAATGTGGAATGGTTGTGGTCAGTCCACCACACGGTGTCTCTGCTGCCCCTTCCTCCTCAGGGGAGGACTCTCCACACTCTTCCCCTGCTTCAACTTAGGGTCCCTCCTACGGGAGAGAGTCCACAACAGACATAGTCCCGCCTGTAGGCTGCAACTCTTCACGAACTGCTCCAGTGTGTGTCACTTGAAGAGCACAGTGCTCCACTGTGTCCCCTGCCACGAGCCTGCTCCAGCACAGGCTTCCTGCAGGTTCACAGCCTCTTCCAGGCATCCCCCTGTTCCAGCATGGGGTCCTCCATGGGTTGCTGGGGCACAGCCTGCCTCACCATGGTCTGCACCACGGGCTGCAGGGGAATCTATGCTCCGGTGCCTGGAACACCACCTGCACTCCTTCTGCACTGACCCTGGTGTCTGCAGGGCTGCTTCGCTTATGTATTTTCGCTTCTCTCTCTGGCTGCAATTGCACAGTTTGCACACACATACACCTCCCACACTCCCCCTGCTTAAATATGTTATCCCAGAGGCACTAGCACCATTGCTGATGGGATCAACTTTGGTCAGTGGTAGGTCCATCTCAAAGCCAGCTGGCATTGGCTCACTTGGACACAGGGGTAGCTTCTGACATCTTCTCACAGAAGCTACCCTTGTAGCCCCCTGCTACCAAAACTTTCCATACCAACCCAATACACAGTCTATACTTCTACAGATTCAAAGACCTATGTGAACATTTTGGAAATAATGGATTAATTAGGCACTGGAATGGATTGCCCAAGGAAGCTGTGAATGCTCCATCCCTGGCGGCATTCAAGGCCAGGTTGGACAGAGCCTTGGGTGACATGGTTTAGTGGGAGGTGTCCCTGCCCGTGGCAGGGGGGTTGGAACTTGATGATCCTAAGGTCCTTTCCAACCCTAACTATTTTATGATTCTATGGTGAAATAATGGATGAACCCTACATAGAAGTATCCCTCTTTCAATGTTCTTGCAAAAAAAGAGGGAGCTTAACCTGCTTTTTGGTTCCTCGCATACCAGTACACAACAGGCTTTAACCAATACAGATGACAGGTTAATGCAGTGACTCAATCTGTCGCCCTCAGAAACTAAGCAATGAATGTCAGCACGTATCTAACAGCTTTCAGGGGCTTTTTACTGTAGCATTCACAAGGTGTTAGTTACTC